TGCTTATTCGCGGATCTTTGTTAATTAAAATCTCAGTAACTATTGCGAATCTAGCAAAATGGTATAGGACTTTTCACCTCAGTTTTATTCCTTCTATCTGCCTACGAGAGATGTTAAACCAATTCTGGGACACCCTGTATATATATATATATATATGTATATGTATATATATACATATACGTGTGTAAGAAAAGTGTAATAAATTTTTTCAGTACATCATATCGAGCGTAGTACATACTTTTCGACAGCGTTCTGATAATTTCGTAGGCACATTTTTGACTTAACATTAAAAATACACATTTTTAGATATATATATATATATGTACTAAAAAAAAAATCAGTTTCAAAATTCTCGCTTCTAAATACAATTTTTTTTCTCTTAATAATGCAGTACAGATGCGTGCAAGTAACGATCTCTTACGTAATGCATGTATATCATATGCACTTATTCTTCATTTTACGTTCGAGACTCGTAGTCGAAATGCAACTTGTGTCGGTGAGATAAAACTTTCCCACATGCGCAAAACAAAAAAAAAAAGATTTCTAAAACCAAAAAACAGAAAAAAAAACAGCGACAAAATTGCATTTCGACTACACGGTATTCTTTTCATTATTTCATACAAGTAGTTAAAAGATTATATTCTCCTGCTATATAAGATGGCCTATTGAACACTTGGGTAGTTTGGAGCGTTTGCGAGCGTCTTACAAGCCGCTCTTTGCTTATTAATATTTATATATCTATTTGTCTTATTTTTTTTTTTTGTCTGCGAGTAAGAACTCAATGCGCGGTGCGCAATATGTATAATGCAATACATATACATATGCGTGCACTCGACAATAAATTACGCACTAACGTCTGCAACTTAAAAAAAAAAGCAAGTACGAATTACTTACGAAGTTTAAATATGGAAAAGTCGTGCTTCGCAGTAACATTGTTACCATGGTAACTTGGTGTGTGTATTTCGTTCTGACTTAGCAATGATTCAAACTGTGTGTGTGTATATATATGTACACATATGTGTGTGTAACAAAAATACCTCTCACACAAAATATATCGAACTGTGTATAACGATATTTCCACAATGAACACGCGTCGACCGCTCCGCGTCCCTTCGACAGTTTTTTTATTTTTTTATTTTATTTTATTTTTTTTTTTTATTCCGACGTTGTAAAACTGTATATGTACCAAATGTCAGTTCAAAAAATGTAATTGTCTCAAAATTAAGCTTATTTATTTGTTTCGCCTCAGTACAAAATGCTAGACAATCATCGTTCCTCGACGAATATTTAACATCAATTACTTTGCAATGAGAACAACCTCTCGTGTTTTTCTTTTTTTTTTTCAACTCTTGAAACTAAAAAAAAAAGAGGCACATTTAAGAGATTATTGTACATAATATTTTTCAAAAAAATCTATATGTGTGCACTCGCTATTATTTCAGCAAATTGTCGAAATTATTTGAAGACACTTTTTGAAATATCGATTTTTCGTATTATGCTGGTGGTTTTTTTTTCAGGGACATTATCGGAGAATAATATTTGTTTCCAAATGATCTTCGAAGTTTGCCGATAATAGTCAGAGAGTGCGGAAGCTCTCTATACATACATATGTATGTATGTACATATGTATACGTGTGTATGCGTACGTACGTGTATATGTACGTACGTGAAGTCTCCGTTTGTATAAATTATTTTTCGCGCGCGCGCGCGCGCTGTAATCGAGTTACAGAGAGCGCGACAACAGTCCTTCTCATTCCAAGAGAATTGATATGTGCAATCATTTCAACAAAATGTTTCTTTTCGTGGCGATAGATAGAAAATAAACTATGTTGCAATCAAACTTGCAATGTGTAGGAACTTTCATTATTTATAAATGCGACTTCACACTGTAGCTCCATAATAGCTGTGACGTGTGTTATACAATTCGTTTCTAGAGTTTATTATTTTAGTTTTAGGCCAACTCTTCTATTTCATTACATTATTGCCATGGAAACGTTATTACTGCTGAAAATACATACAATCGTTCGTAGACAGATACCAAGGTATACACGGAACGAAATTTCAGCGGCGAAGCGGCTGTGGTAGCATCTTTTTCTTCCGATGCTCTCTTCATTGTAGAGAGAGCGAATGGCATTGGCAAGTTGTTCTCTTTTTGTAATCAGATAAAAAATAAATCCATTACAAACGCACGCTGCATATAAATTTTTTTCTACGTAAAATATGATTAAGTTATTTAGTTTTTTTTTTTTTTGTTTTTTTTTTTTTTTGAATGATTAAATACGTGTGGCGTCTCACAAATCGATCAAATTATCATGTTTTACTTTTGAATTGCGCAAATTCAGTTTAATTACGCCACAACACGTAAATAACATGAGCAACAAGAAAAAAAAGTAATACGAGATATGTTGAGAACATAAGTTTCTAATTGTGTGGTGAAAAACTTATGTTCACAACGGTTTGGCTATAAGTAACCCAAAGCAAAATTTTCATTAAAATTTCATGTCTCACAAAGAGAATTGAAACAATCATTATATCTACTTATCACATTACTACTTAAAATGATATAAATATAAATGTAAATGACTCTCAAAAGTTAATTGTCAGCCAAGCGACTCTCACCCTATAATCTGACAATAAAACGATGTATACTTTCTGGCAGATTATTCTTAAATCTATCAGAATTGCAATTATGCCACCAGGCGCTACCAGATAACTGCTGTGTCGCCGTTAAACGATACAATATTGATAGTTTTATACAATACATATATACACACACATACGTGCGCACCCACGCATACACACACATACACACATACGTAATGTGTGTATATATATATATATATCATATAAATGTAGACTATATAAAAAAAGAGATTAGCTAAATGTGTAACTGCTGAATATCCAGTAAAGTAATAATGGATCTCCCGCCCCTTCCCCCCCACATTTTCTATTTAATAATTCTAAAATATAAAACCCGTCCCTGAGGATCATGAATATTCAGCAGTTAAGCAAAATCATTTACTAGTTCAACAGTAATGGTTAGCCTAATTCAATCATTTCTGTATCTTCCATGTTGCTGTGGTCAACTCCATTGTGTGGCCTATAAAAAAAAAAAAAAACCAAATTGTTGTCTATGCTACTTTCAATTCGAACATTTTGTAAGAAAAAAATTTCGTAGAAAATTTCGCATGAAAAATGTGATTGAAGAAGAAGAAGAAGCACAAGAACTCAATTTCGATACATTAACCTGTGACTTTGTATTGTGTGAAGATAGAAGCCACGCATCGCCTTACGAGGACTTCTAGCTTTTATGACTCGTGGCTGCGACATGGTGGTCAGATAACATTGTTGTTGCGAGAACATATCTTCTTCTAATATACTTGGTGCTACGTATGTGAATCCCTAGAAAGAAACGCAAAGAAATGATATTTAAAATATTAATCATTTGTAGCACAATATGCATGTTTTTTTTTTTTTTTTTAGAATATTTCTTTAGCGTAAATGTATATTTAAATATGTATTCAATATGAAAACCACAGGGGAAGAACTTGATAAGTCACATTTTCGTAATTTTAGAGAAAAACGATTTTAAAGTTTAAAACGTATATGTATTTCTGTTACACGTTTTATAAAAATGTTTATATCTCAGAATCTATCAAAAATTTCCTTTTCTCGTTTTGGATATTTAAAATATTCCATTTTAACTACCAAATAACATCAAAAATCAGAAAATCGAAAAAATTTGACTTATCAAGTTCTTCCTCTGTGGTCTTCATATGTATTAAATTTAAATTAAATTTAATCATTCATCAAAAGAAGAAAACTTACTTGGAACACTCCGTCGACTGATTCGCTCAATGTGCAATCCACTGGAGAATCTATTGGCGCTGAGGAAGTAAACTTTTTATCAAATTGCGAGACGTCGTCCTCGCTAGATAGTTTTGGTTTGAACGGCGGTTCCAATTTTCTCGAGAGAACGTCGTTCCAATTGATGTGCTTGAAAAATCGGTGAGCTTTTACTTGTTCTCCATCTGACGAGCTAGATCCTAGTCTTTGTGCAACTTGTCTCTGAAAACAGAAAAAAATTATTACATTCCACAAAAATATCAAAATTATTTTGAAAACATAAACTCTTTGATGAGTTTAGTGACATATTAACCTTGAGTAGTTTCCGAACAAGGTCTCTAGCGTCAGGTGTGAGATATAGAGGAAGATTCAGTTTTCCACGCAGGATCTTGTCAATAGTTCTTTTTCTATTGTCTGAGGTAAATGGCGGCTGAAAAAATCGGGTAGTATAAAATTGCAACATGCAATTATATGCAAGTTTACTTCAAGTTTATGTGCAGTGACAATACATACAGATCCTGTAAGCATGTCATATAATAAACTTCCCATACTCCACCAATCCACTGCTTTTCCATGGCCGCTTCTCGTTAAGATTTCAGGCGCCCTTCAAATAACACAAATAATTGATGTAATCATAAATTAATTCGAATAGTTCGTAAACTTTTCACAAATTCTCAAATTTGTTCTTAATTCCATGTCCCTTACATATATTCGATAGTCCCGCAGAATGTATGTGTAACAGCACCCTCTTGTATATGCTCCTTACATAATCCAAAATCAGTTAGCTTAATATGTCCCTCTGCATCCAACAGAATATTTTCTGGTTTCAAGTCTCTAAAATAATTTAATAACATTTCGTGAATATCATTAAATTTAATATAAGTAAAATCTTACAAACACTTACAATACCTGTATATAATTCCTTGCAAATGAAGATGCTGCAAAGCTAATGTGATTTCACACAAGTAAAAGCTGCAAGACAAATTTAGAACATAATGCAAAACATTAAATATATGGGTTTGTAAAGTGAGATTTACGTAAAATCACTTTTTTGTTATTCACATACCGTGCGGTATCTTCCATAAAGATACCCTCATCATTCAAATGTCTAAACAGCTCGCCCCCACACATGTATTCCAGTATCAAATATAATTTATGACCAGTTTGAAAAGCGTATTTGAGATCTACGATAAAAGGATGCTGCCAGATGCAAAAAAAAAAAAAATATAAATTGGTACCTTGCATATAATATGCACAATAAAACATAAATATATATATATATATAAAGAGACTAACAGAGAATTAATTTAAAATTGATCTAATATAGTTTTTGCAAACAGGATGTGTAAAAATGTACATGATAAAAAAGTAAATCAGAATTTAATTTCTGTGATTGTGTGATTCAAACACATTTCAACGCATCCTGTGTACACTGAGACAACAACATTATCTTATTATTATATAACATATTATCTTATTATCTTATTTAAACCTGTATCATCTGTTATCTAAACTGATTTTCTTTTATAAACCAAGTATCTGTTATGTTACATTACTTACCTAAATTATTAACTTATCTTAATTATTATTATTTTAATTAATTTCATTCCAATCAAGTATATTTTTGTAGCAGATAAAAATATTACTGACCTTTACAGATTCCAGAATATTTCGTTCAGCTTTGGTGTGAGCTGTGTCTTTTTGATTTCTCACAATCGAAGCCTTGCGTAACACCTGTTTTAGATGAATGCAAAAGAATAATTTTCAGAATTACTAAATCATTCTCAAAAATCTCTGCAGTACAATTGCACCAGAAAATATCTGAGAATTGTTATCTAGTATTTTTCAAAAAGAAGAAAAAATGTTCCCATGACAATTCCAGTAAGTCGGATTAGTGTCAGATTAAAGTTAAAGGTTAGGTTAGGTTAATCAAAATAACCTAACCTGTCAATTTGCGAAAGGGTTTAATTAATAGACGCATGACTAATTACAAGCTCATTACTTTCATAAAACCGAGTGGGGGGAGTAACAAGTGGGTTTTCCCTTCAAAAATATATTTAAATCCCACTAATTTTTATTTTGCAAGAAGCACACGAGTTTTACACTCTGATAAAAGGAAAGTTGCATTGCAAGTTATTAAAACACCATTTGTAAACTTCGAGAATGCTAATGAGCAGTCATTTTTTTTCTCGGGAGCGGATACTCCGTACGTTGTTCGCTCTCGCGACGAATAAAGTCCAGAGCAAATTGCAGCGTACTAAATGCGCTTGGGGAACAAATAATACATACCTTCATAGCAAAAAAGGTCCCGCTGTCACTGCCCGTTATCTTGCGCACCTGGAAAACCTTGCCGTAACCGCCTTTCCCGATAACGTTGCATAACTCGAAATCCTGTGGCCCGACCCGCTCGCGTTCGCGATTCACATTATGTTCGGATATGGTCACCGTCTCCACAGATTCGGAGCTGCTGGACAAGCTACAAAAAACGGGAAGAAAATTCTGTCATTGTCGTCGCTTGCACGACCATACGCGAGAGAAGCTTATATCGTGCTATCACGTGCGACGCACGCAAGCAGGAAATGCACGCGTGTCTTTTTTACTCACGTTACTACATCATTCACGTTCGGATCGGCGTCGCATTCGTCCTGAAAGAGAAACAGATTGCGATACGTTAATAAGAGAGTGTTCACGTGAACTTGTGCAACCGCGTGCAACGTACGGTGCCCACGTACGGACAGACAAGCCCCCGTAATCGTCGCGTGTTGTTTATACAGGAGAGGAATGAAAGGAGCAAGGATTTACCGTGCCGATTTCGATGGCATCGTCGTCGTCGGACTCGTCTCGGTGGAGCAAACCTGCGTCCTGCAGCTCGATGTCGAAGATCGCCGACATCGTTGCTTCCGTCGTTGTCGTCGTTGTCTCGCGTGCGAAACACTTGTCCAAGGTGTTGGTCACGGGCGTCGGTGACGGTCGGCGGATAGAAAGAGAGAGAGAGAGAGAGAGAGAGAGAGAGAAAGAGAGAGAGAAAAAACGTCGGGATGTACGCGACGTCTCACACGACACGCGTTGTTCTCGGCGCGATGCGATTCCCGACCCCTCGCGAGGCAGTGAAATGCGACAAAGCCGTGCGGCAACCAGCGGCGACACACACTCCGACCCCGGCGCTGTTATGTTCTCTGATGGGTTTTCCTTGCGTTACTTCATACGAAAGCACTGGGATTCGTAGAACGGCCTTGTCGGTGACAAAGTGGGGAAATACCGCATGCACGCCAATCGCGTGTCGCATACGTCACGCTACTCCCACGCCAAGATTCCGTCCGCACGTGGCGCGGGAAACTTTGAACCGCCTGAATAGCCGAGTCCGTTCACGTTTAGAATAGGTCGAGGGCCGGTTTCTCACCGTTTCCTATTAAGCTAAGTCGGCCGATTAAGTGCGTGAATCGGTCGCGTGACTGGTCAATTCTGATTAAATCTGCTAAATGACTAATTCAATTAATCAATTCGTCAATGAAATGATTAGCTGATTAAGTTAATCAAAGTAGCCGAGAGACCGGTTCCAATTAATTTCTTCAGTTGCAAAATGTATAATCCGTTAAAAAAATGTAGTGGAGATGTACAATAGGTTGATATTTTTTGTAAAAACAATTAATTTCAAAGTTATTTAGTTATTTAGAGTTAGTTTACTTCAATTAAACAAGTTTTTGCTTAAGTTTTAATATTATTATTAGAACAACCTTTATACATGTATATATGGTGTATGCATACGTATATATACATATACATATATAACACGTTCTGTATGTTACAGATATACATTTAAGGACGCAACTACTAACACGTCACAATGTTTGACGTCATATTTCCTAGACTGACGTAAATCGAAACGCGACAATGACGACACACTTGCTTGCTACACGTGAAAGTCGGTAAATTTGTGATTTAATATTGCGAGTGTTAAAGTTGCGTTTTATAATTATGGGAAGGGACTTTACGTAAACAGCGTGAAAAGCGATAGAAATTTGTAATTCTATCTACTGATTAGATTATGTGATTAAATTCAATTGCTAATTTTTTCACATTGAACATTTGTAATAAGCAATAATCGGTTGTTGACTTTTGCGTGAAAAAAAAAAAAAGATAAATTTACCGATAGCATCAGAATTCCACAGTTATCGGATTGTTTCCATGACATTTCGAGGTACAGACACGATTATGTCGGATCCGATAACATTCCATTAATCGAATCGGAGAAGATAAGTGTATCATTCACGATAGGGGGGCGTGATATAGATTTCCGAATGTTTATCGGCCGCCGTTGAGTGAAATTTTGAATTGAAACTGCAATATCTTCTCGCGCAACAAACAATAAAGCAGTGGATAAAAATTATTCGAGAGAGAATCTTTCGCGAGAAGTTGGTGAGATTTAGCGAAAATGGTTCAGCGTCATCACGTGCAAGGATATGAGAATTTTCTAGAATATGTGAAGGATCTCAAGTCTGCGGGTCAGACTTACATACTCTACACCGGCACAAAATTGTCTGATTCTGGTAAAAGTTGGTGTCCCGATTGCGTAGTAGGTGAGTAAATAAGGTCTTTTAATTTTCTCAATCGCGTGTTTACAATTCTAATTCTAACCTATATCCGTCTTAGTTTCGAACACCAACCACTTGTGTGTGCTACTTGTGCAACTTTTAAATTCAATTTTTTCGGCGCACAATTACTACGCGTTTTGCAAGTCGGAGGCGTTCTTTTATCTCGGAAATTTTTGTATTCGATCAATGCGATTGATTAGCTTTATTTGCGTTTGAATTTACATCTTCGACAATCTCAGACTTGAGAAATACACATGCAGCTATATAAAAACAATCTAACGATCTGACTGATGTTTACTACATCCTATTATTTTATTTGTATAGAATTGCTACATTTTGTCTTTTTGTTACAGCTGAACCATTTATTGAAAAAGGTTTTGAAACAGCACCTGATGGAACACAGCTAATAGTGGCAGAAGTTGGAGACAGACCATTGTAAGTAAATTAATGCATTATTCTTTTGTAATTATCATTTTATAAGAATTATCATAAATATTCCTATGAATAAGTTAGTTATCTATAGTAGTTCAGGAAAAAATCACTAACTTGGAGCACACCTTTGTATACTGTTGTTCTATTTAGCTGGAAAGATCCCAACTGTCCGTTCAGATCAAATCCCATTACCAAATTAAAAGTTCTACCAACTCTGGCTCGATGGGGTACTCAGAAACGTTTAGAAGGTGATCAGTTATTAAAACCTGAACTTATCGATATGTTACTGACAGATGAAGATGACTGAAAAATATAGTCAATAAAAGAAGTTGGATCAAAGAATCTCTCAGATATTTTAATGATTGTTTGTAAGTCGTATGATGTGTGAAAGAGGACTAGAGAAATATAATAAATTTATAAGCAAGTTTTTAAAAATATTGCAAATTGATATTAGATTATTCAGATGATATGATAAAATCATCAAGAAGAGTAACGAACAGGTAAAAATAAATCCTTTTCGATCTTATTACATTATTTTGATTTATATTCAAGAGACCTTCTTTAAGTATCTATGGTTCATATATATTATAGTTTATATATAGTTGTAATTAATATATATAAACGTATACAAACGTTACATAAACATGTTATTACATATTATATAAACATATAACTACTTTTCAGTTTATTTAACCCTTAAACCCCACCAAAGGTCCATGGAAAGGTCCAGCATATCTTTGAGCGTACTTTTAAATAAGTAAAACTCCAAAGCGAGACTTGCCGCACTATCTGCTATAATAAAAAATTCAGATTCGAAAAAGATTCTTTCTTCAGCATCCTTTGGAGAATATCTATGATTTTTTTCAAGATGAAAAAATAAATAGAGTAATTTCTAAAATCTTTTAAAGAGGCTGAAGTCCAGTGGACCCCCAGTGAGGTTTATGTTAGATTACGGGAATGAAGTGTGGGATTTAAGGGTTTAATCTAATACATATACGGGAAAAGTAAAAAGAACTAACGTTAAAAACTGTTTAATCTCTAAAGAGCACGGTTTTTTTTTGGAATATTTTACTTTTTTTTTAAATCTTATATTTGACATCTGTATATACCTATGTATATATATATATATATGTAACGTATAACGTTCATATGAAATTGTCGTTTTATATAAAATTTATCATGCGGATTTAGAGCCTATAGTGGCTAGGAACGGCTCTCTAAAGATTAAAAAACTAATATAAATTGTATAATACAATAGAAATTTTCATTTTTTTATGCAACTAATGTTTCCCTTTCTATTTCCGTCGGTGCGAGTATACGTACGGCATAATGAACCTTTTTATTTCTCAGTATACTATAAGTATTATCAAAAACAACAGAATCTGTAACAAATAAGATTGTACAGACATTATATAGATACTGTTTGCTCTGTTATCGTTATAATCGGAATTGCTTGATTAAAAAACGATGCAAGCTTACAAGTGGCTGGTTCTTCACAAGTCAATACTCCCATTTCATCCGACTGGTGAGATGCGACTCTTCGAAGAGGTATGATCTCTATTCGCTTGCCGTTCTCTGCGTCTTTTTTCAGGATTCCGAACTTGATGTCGTGACCCTCGCTCCAAAATTCCCAGCTGCACACACAGGTTCAAGTTAAGCGTGCAAGAAACACTTACGTCTCGACGTATTTACCTTAATAAAGAACCGCTTTCGGACGTGCACACGTCGACTTCCAGTTTTCCGCCTTTTCGTACGACGACAGTAGTGTAATCCTGATTGATCTTCTCCGAATTCTTGACATACATGTCTTTCGGTATTTTACCACCTTGACAAATCTGAAGATCAATTATCATAAAGACTCTCTGAGAAAGTCATTTTAATATTCTGTACTTTCAACACATTGAAAGAAAAAGAGAGAGAGAGAGAGAGAGACTTTCAGTGAAGATTTTTATAAATTTTAACAGAACCATTCTGTTTTTTTTCTGTACAATTTTTGGAAGAAACATAAAATATTTGTATTTTGTTGAATAACACATAATGAATATAATTTTGATTAAAATGGGAATAAGACGTAAGAGAAAGAAACAGATAACTGAAAGTATACTACTTTAGAAGTGTATCTTGGATTGCCGTCCGGATCGCACAGTGTACCGCCGAAATGAACAGGAAGCTGATTTCTCGGTATGGTCTGGAGTATTGCCTTTTTCCATTTCGCCGGATCACTTTTATAAATCTGTATCTTTGACAATGTGTACTCGTTCAGGAACTTCTTGGCAATGGCGAAAGCAAATGCAAAAACTCTCGGCGCTACAAACGATAGTATTGCAAACGTGCATCGACGAGTTTTTCTATAACTGCGACGACAATGTATCACGTGCGAACTTACCATTAATAATGAAGCATATCTTTAAAATCTCGGGATAATTTGCCTCGTACATCTGGAGAAGCTTGATAACTAATTCGCCAGCTGCAGTAATAGAGACGTCGGTAAAATAAGTAAAAGAAAAATTGACAAATTGCAGTGAAAAATTAACTGATGGACTAATTGAGCTAGTTTCCACCAGTGCGCACGTCAATAATATAAAAAAAATTTAACTGCATTGATTGATTTGAGGACATTTCGATCAATATTTTTGATCAGCCTTAGTTATAAAGTATGATAAACAAATGTGTACAATGAACAAACCGTCAATCAATATCTTATGTTGTGAGTCTTGCAATTATCGTTGTATCATCATTACTGTTGCGTCAATACGTGGATAATAATTATTTGTAATTAGTTTGATAAATAAAAACGATGTTATGTTTTTACATACAATCAATTTCTTCGAATGTTGTCTTCAAAAGACTTCACAATCAAAAAGCAATACAACGATTAATCTTCATACGCTTGATTTTACCTGAATAATTTACCTGGTTTCCACAAGTATTGCTTCAGATTGAATCCTTCCATGTCAAAGATAACGGTTAATTGATTAGCGACTTCCCCGTGCACCTTGGATTGTTCTCTGGCTAGTCTCAGAAAGTCATCCAAAAGCTTTACCATGATCTTGACGAAATCCTGCTGAGTTATCACTTGCAACATTCCAAACATGTCCATCCCGGCGAACGGAACAATGATTACTACAAAAATACACATGTACACCTCTTTTACTTTTTCTGGTGTTTAACGTTGTAACTAAAAAGAAATACAGATAAGTTTTATTGTAAATTTATTTAACAAAGAGAAAAAATTTTCACCTGGTGCACCATCTTTATCGAATCCGCTCAGTCCATAAGGAAAGAAATTTAATACTTTTTGAGAGAGATTCCAATTGGATAAATTATCAGCATCCCACTTCTTCCGCCATTCTATAGACTACAAGAAACAAAAAATTATTTCATAATTACACATCTGTACACATATACATGTATATTCTACACAGAACAAAAACTTCATTAGACGTTAACATCTTTATGCGATGTCTAATAAAGTTTTTGGTCTGTGTGGGACATATGCATATACATTGTACATATCTAGATACAAGATATGTGTACATATATACATAGTGTCCGACAATTAGTGTAAAATCTCTCGTAGGCAGGTAGAAGAAGTAAAACTGAGTCGAAAAGTCCTGAATCATTGTTTTCTATTACATATAATAAAGGAGTAATTATTGGATAAATCAAGCCAATCAGCGCCGACCTTTTGCCGAACGCACGTCAGTGAACCGCGCGCCTTGTGTGCGTGAGCGCTCCGCGCGGCTCACTAACGTGCGTTCGGCTAAAGGTCGGCGCTGATTGGCTTAATTTATTCAATAATTACTTCTTTATATATTGTTATTACTTATTTATATGTAATAGAAAAAAATGGTTCAGGTTTCTTTTCTACTTAGTTTTACTTCTTCTACCTGCCTACGAGAGATTTTACATTAATTATTGGACACCCTGTATACATATGATGCAATAATGATGGAAAGAGTGTAATATAACTTGAAAAAAATAAAGCGATATGAAAGTAAGGTTAACACAACTATTAGTGTACAAATATAGAAAATCTCTATATTACAGTATCTACGTAAAGAATGTTTCAAAATTAATTTGAGTCTTTTTGTACATTTGATATAAAAATATTATACATATTCGTGTATGATATTTCATGTCAATTTATTAAAAACCATAAACTATTCGTGTAAGTTAAGGGAAAGATGACATCAGGACAAATATGGAATTAAAATCCATGCGATCACAATTGATCACAAAACTCACTTTCTTCAAGCAAAATACAACAGAAAGTTAATTATAGTCATGGAGATGCACTCCCGGTTTTCAAATTACCGTGAAACTTCTCTACATAAGAATCAAGATGATGACTTCGAGAACGATGCTTCAAGGAATTGACTTATTACTTTCAACTTGCTAAGCAGTATGTACCGAGAGAATAACTTTCTACTTCGCATAAAACATCTCCAGAAACAAAAAAGCGAGATTCGAAATCGACGGCAATTTATCAATATTTAATATCCAATGTGTCTTGGAGAGAAAGTTCTTTTATTGATCTATTGAAAAAAAAAAATTGAGTGCAATTATCTTAAATGACAAACAATTTATTTCAAGCATGCACTACCTGGAACATAATTTCTTTTGTTTAGTGTGTTCCAAAAATTCAGCAACGGTTAAATATTTCGAAAATAAAACGTTTTATAACAAAGTGTTTTAGACTAAAGTTGCAGGATATATATTGATATATTTACCGGTGTTAAAAATGTAACTTTATAGTACGCTGAAAAGGTCAAGGTCACATCTATATTTTTAAATCACACTTCCCGGTTTTTATTGCAGATTCTGGTATTAGTTCTAAAACTAGTTCTAGAACACTGATGTTTATTTTCGTTAAAATTTATGCGAGATATGGAATTCAACAGAATACTACTTATCCGCATTAATTTTATCCAAGGTGCACCACATAGAAGTTGCACGACCGGATTTACATCTTTCTGTGTGTGTGTGCGTGTGCTTATACAACATATACACGCGTTTACACACACACACACACACACAGTGTGTGTACATTCGACTACGCCTCCACCTAGTGAACCTTACTACTATAAGTTATCTTCGAAAACCTGCTTTAACTTGCACAAATTTTAACAAAAATAAACTTTATACCAGTGCTAATCTTGATAGCACACTACACGATACATGTTTTAACGCGTTAAAAAATACGTCAATATTTATCGTGCAACGTTTGTCTAAAACATTTTTTTATAAAATGTATTATTTACCGAGATATTTGAGCGTTGCTTTGGTACACACTGTATATATATCTCAATAGTGAGATATATATACACTATTGAGATATATATACAGTGTGTACGGACATATTTGTCTTATAAGATATATATTTTTGGTTACATTTCTGATGCTAAGAAAATTTTTATCGTTGTCCTTTATAAAAAATTTAAACAAATATATAAAAAGATAGAAACATTAAAAGGCTTCTGCAATAATCGTATTTATTAGTAAACTAAGACGAATTGAGACAAACCTTTTTGTCGAAATGATATTCAGAAATGGATACAAAGTTCTCAAGATATAAGAATTAGTTAAGAAGTAGAATGTTCTCAAGATCATTGATTTAGGTCGCCAGTAAGTTTATTCCCGCCACGTAGAATACGATTATTTTTCACGACGTCGACTAACCAGACTATCTGACTTTGTCTTGCTCGTTCTTACATCAATGTACGCTCTCTTTCTCCCTCTTTCTCTTTCTCTTTTTCTCTGTAAAAGCCTGTCTAAAAAAGATAAGTTCAATTTTCTCGTTTAAGTATGTCAGCGAAGTCTTCCAATCAGCAGTCACCGTGTATAGCAAGTGACGCTTACCATGTATTCACGTTTCACGTACGCCGCGTCAATATTTCAACGACTCGTATAAATTTATTACATTTTAACGAAGAAATAAGATTCAGTGATGAGAGAATGACTGGAATATTTTCTCAGTGGAATTTGCATGTTTTTCTTTATAAACATAAATGTCGAAAAAAGTTGCAAACAGTGTTAACAGTTAATATTATCTAATGTTAGCTTTTTTCACATGATTACTCACGTCTCTCAACATCTTTTCTGCCGCATTCGAATCCCATTTTCTTGCTGAAATATTAAAAATATGAATTATGTCTCTATTGTGTATTTCTTTTTATTTGTTTATTATTATTTAAAATAATTCTCTGCAAATTCGAGTCTCCGCGATATATTGAGTTGGTCAGAAAGTCTTTTCGTATTTTAATACAAAGTTTAACAAAAAATACGAAAAAACTTTCTGATCTAACCCAAAAAATTTATATATACATATAAATGTTATTTTAAAACAATTTAATTACTTAAATGTTGCCTCAACAAATAGCGAAAGGAAGAAATGATTGACACACGACAATTAGCGTCGATATAAATATCGTTTGTAATACGCTTGACCGCGCTGTGTACACACGTGTTACGACAGATAATATTTATCACACAAAATCACGGAGTATATTTTCTTCGATAACATATTGAATACGTTATCATACCTCTCAACCAACGAAGCAGAAAATAGTCATCGTGCTGCGCTTGCAAGATATCTTGCACGGCTCGTCTGAACTATAGAAAAAAAAAGAGAAAACTTTTATTATTAGTCAGTAAAATGATATTGCCAGAAACGAGCGTTTGATTACACAATAACGCGTGTCGTGACGCGACACACTGTGCCAATTAATCATCATAATGTCTTGATTTTCGAGTTATCCCCCGAGAGAATCAACTATTTGTCTACGTACAATAAAAAATAGTATAAATTCGCACGTGAGTTCATCTGTCACACGTTTCCGGCACTTAAACATTACACACGTGTCTTATTCGCGTAAGATTGTTTTAATCGCACGTTTCTCCGGAAACGGCAGCGTCTACGCGGAAATAGTGCAATAATTTGTCAAAAGTTTTTGCGTACGTACACAATACTTGACTGTAATTTGCAGGACACACAATTTACACGTGTGTCTCCGCGAGAGAGAGTGAAATTTTGTTAATCAAACACTTTCCCGATCTGAGGATAGCAACATTTTTCAGACTTTGCTTTTTATTTTCGTGAGTTTCGCGACGCGATAGATGTTTTGCAATCAACAAACATCTATTAGCATAATAACTAACACTTCGTCTGTTGGCGTACATTGATGAAATTAATCCATATATAGAGAATCCTGTACATAAGATCACTCCAAGTTTTGTATCCGACAGAAATATTATATATTGTTTTTTTAACTAAAAATAATTAATTATCTAACATTTAAAATTATATTGTTAACTAAACTAAAAGTAAGTCATTATCTAAAATAATTTTTATTTTTTATGTGTGTTCCTTTGATCTTTTTAAAGAAACTTTCTTTCAATAAGATGCCTATAAATTCGTTTAAAGTTTGCAAAAGCGCTTTGGTCCGCAAATTATCATAACTATGAAAAACCGGATTGCGTATCGTCGTACGCAACAAAATAAAACGAGGCGCGACACAAGGACAATTGCAACATTATCTACCCAATTTAAATATAAGAAAAATAAAAAATACAATTAAGCCAAAAACTAAGAAGTCTAAATATAATAGTCGGCTCTTGTATATCCAACATCGGTATGTATAATATAATTTAATCGTTGTTGCCTAAACCGGTTTCTGTCCGTGAAAGAAACTGAAACTCATACTTGGTTTATATGTGTGCGACTTGACAGACCTGTTGCATTTGGGCAAAAGTTAAGTTCCAGCATTGTTTCGCGTAGATGCGCGATACGCGAATGTAGAATACAGGGAAAAGGTTTTTTTTCTTTTGCATTGCAGAACCAGTCGAATCGTAGAAAAAAACAAGGCTATAACACAGTCGTTAGTTCTTTATTTTGTGTCTAAATCACAAGAAATAAATTTCAGGGAAAACTGTAAACAAAATTGACGTTATTCTTGCCTTTACTTTATATATATTAATAATTATGTATACTCGTTAAAAAATAAATATATAAGAATAAGGCTATACGAGCAATTATACTGGGTGTTCGTGTATTTTTTAGTAAATATTACTTTATTCTTCTAAATATTGATCAGACGTTTCGACATCTGTGATTCAGATCTTCTTCAATGATTGTCTACATGATATAAATAAGATTGTTAATTTATACTATCGACAAGACATATTAACTTTTTCAACAGAACGTATAATATTTTTGAAATTAAATTTTACCTACTATTAAGAAGAAAACAAGCATCACAACACTACCTATATCACTACATTATAAATTAGTAACGTTGATTTTAATTATTTATCTCAACAAACACTTGTTATATCTTACTGTAGCTATGTGACAACTTTATTCTTCTGCTTATATATATATTGTTTCCCCCTCTCACACATGTACTTCAATTATATAATATATATAATATATTTATATATAATATATTTATATATATTCATGAATATTAATTAAGTATAATAATATATATATATATATATATTGAACCTATCTATACCTTCTCTCTTTTTTTACAATATCAGATTGATAAAACATCTTGATGAAAAAACAGGTACGTAATAGATTTCTTGTTTCTATTACGATCGACGTAGTTTCTATTATAGTTATGTTTATATGAAGAACATGATTATATATTAATGTTTTTCTGAAAAAAGTGAGAAATAAACTAATCACCTCATTTGTCTACAAAAAAAGCGTTGCGGACGACTAACTATAGAATAGGTTGCAATTTAATTGTGTTGCAATCGGCAAAAAAGATAATTCGATTGCAATAATTTCGCGCTATTGCAAAATAATATCTTTAGCGAAGAAAAGTGTGGAAAGTGTGCACTATAAAACTACTTATCGCGGTACAGCCAGTCACGGCGTCTTCGTTACGGAACAATTAGCTCTCGGAATCGTTACAGAAAATTACTACAATCGAGTATAAAAAGTACATTAGAAATGTTTACGCGATGAAAACGCATTTATTTGTGCCATATTATCTTTATTTTTTTAATTATCAATGTCACAAAGAGGAAAAACCAGAGTTTGCTTATTTATTGAAAATTTTTTAGCCGTGTGATTTAGAGAAAAAAGAAATCTTGTCTCAGATGTTATAAAAATGTTTACTCGATTGTTTATTGTGTGACATACTAAGATACTTATTGAATCTGAAACTTAAAAATTGTACTTTGTTTTATAGGTATGTTCTTCTGTTTCAAGTGTACGGTTCGATTCGAGGCTGAACTTTCGCGGTAGTTATCAAAATGTTCCCGGCGCATTTCATGCGATTGCCTCATTCTTGCAACTAGTACAAATCGAAAGTCATTTTGCCGCAAATTCGAGATTGAGAAAGACTTATTTATTTTTTCTTGTATGTGCGCACGCGCGTGCATTATGTCGCAATTCGAAAGACAGTAGTTACGTATTGAGGAGGATTTCTTTAAAGTATGACGCACGAGATCAGACTATTTCTTGCGTTCCTGATCATCAGCGAAATAATGAAATTGTCGCCGCTGCTGTTGACAATTATAAACGTTCTTATTCAATGATCAAATTTATATTTATTGACTCGATTATATTGTACATATGATTTGCATATAGTTATGTTAATGTAAATGTGTTGTGAATCGATGGCACAAAATAAATTTCTTGTGCAAACTTTCGTGTGAGTTTTCTACTACGTGATATATAAATGTTCAGACTTTATGTTTGTAATAACTTCATTTTCAAAGGAAATTCTTTATTTTTGCAACGTTAAATAACAAACACGATATACTAAGTAATATCTTTGATGTAAACTTTATTTATGAAAATTAACACAAATATATTTAATTTGATTGTTTTGGCAACTAATAAAGTAAAAAAACTCGAGCTGCTTGCGTAAGCGTTTAGCATTTAAAAACCTACAGGAAACACACACATTTATTTACGCGCAGAAGTTTTTATTATCTTGAGAATAACAAAAATCTCATTTTAAAGTCAAATAGGTATATTTTTCGATTTTTTTTCCGCGTTAAAAAAAAAATTCTTCTAGGTTAAAAAAACATCTTTAAATATGTAACTTACTTTCATTAGTGCGAATCGCTGGTCGTCCGCCAATTTCAGTGAAGTAGACATGTTTGCTATGTAAATACGTGATTTAACGTTCCTTGCACCTCGTTTAGGTGGTAGATTTTGTCCCGTTTAATATTCACAAACCTCTAGAAGTCTCTTGTTTTTACAGCAGCGCTACTTCAAAATTGGAAGATAATAATAATTGTTTCAGTGACTAGAAAGTTGTAGTTTTGTTTTAATAGATATGGATTTATATACTTATCTTCACACCCATACACACGCACGCACTCGTATATGTGTGTATCTTTATCGTTATCAAATTTATATACTTTATCTTTAATTGACATGTATATGAACATTCTAAAATCAATAACTTATCAGCGAATAATCGACGCAATATAAATGAACTTTTCTGAAAAAAGTATATAAGTCGAGAGCAAAGTTTAATAAATATAACAATGTGTCAATCGTTATCTCAATATTAAATTAGATACAGAAACAGATTTATATTGACTTCTGCATTGCTTTTGAAATCTTATAGTTGATAACTGCATCATTTAACAGAAATTACAATTATATTATTTGCATAATTTAAAAATGAACAATACTCAACGAAGATTTGCTTATGCAAATCAAATCTGTTTTTTATATCATCGTATTAAATAATTCACAAAAATTCGGAACGTGAATTTATAATTTTTAATTATCTGACATTTACATACAAAAATATTTTAATTTCAAATGCATATAAAACAAGCGGAAAGACTTACTTGTTAAGTAATTTGCATGTTTTGATACGTCAAACCGCGACTTAAGCTAAAAAGTTTCTGCTAACAGAAAAATCTTAATCTCTAGCACAGAAGTATAGATTAGATACGTAGAAACGATTATTGCGATTGGTAAATCAATTACTAAGTAATCATTATTACTTTTTGTCTGTTTTACATTCGAGAAACGGCGTGAAGGCTTGTTATTTCCTTGTTTTGATTTGAATATGTTTATGTCATGTCTTGTATCTTTTTGTCGTGCCATTCATTTGTTTTTTAATTCAATTATAGACGATTTTTAGCAATCGTATAATATACAGGGTGTTCCAGAATTAGTGTGACATCTCTCGTAGGCAGGTAGAAGGAGTAAAACTGAATCGAAAAGTCCTGAACCATTTTTTTCTATTATTTATAATAAAGGAGTAATTATTGAGTAAATCAGGCCAATCAGCGCCGATCTTTAGCCAGGCGCACGTCAGTGAACCGAGCGGAGCGCTCACACACACCAGGCGCGTGGCTCACTGACGTGCGCTTGGCTAAAGATCGGCGCTGATTGGCCTGATTTACTCAATAATTACTCCTTTATTATAAATAATAGAAAAAAATGGTTCAGGACTTTTCGACTCAGGTTTACTCCTACCTGCCTACGAGAGATGTCACACTAATTCTGGGACACCTTGTATATACCAAATCATCGTCAAAAATCGTCTTATCACATTATCAAAATATACACAGCAAAAACAAAGAGTTTCTAATGGTTTATCCGAATTTGGTCTATCACTCATGATCCGTCTCGAATATTTTCTAGACATGTATATTATTTGAATTATATTACTATAAGAGTATAATATGTGTCGCTACAGCGCTTACCATGTGTGTGTGTGTATGATTGTGAAATACCTCAAGCAAATTCTCGCAAATGCAAAATTGAGAACTAGTTGCTAACGATTCATGCTCTCTTTCTGTGTACAGTTATATGTACATACGTGTTTGCGAATATGTACTGGAGCCGTTATATTCACTCGAACGAACGATCAAAGGGACCTGTCCTCGGAAGTCTTTCGCGGTTGCTCGGCGTCGGCTGCACTGGTGAATCGAATGAGGTGAATGCAACAGGTGTCCGTTAATGTACTAACTTCCCGCGCGTTATAAGTGAAAGAAAAACGAAACGTTGGTATCGTCGCGAGACACAAGCGGCGTCGAAGGCGGATACAGTATGTATGAACTTGCCGACGTCGGCCGATGGTCTTGTTTCAAACGCCGCGATTTTCCCCACCTGGTTCCACCATCACCGCTGCTTGCTGTCTTTGTCGGACAGACGCCGATACATCCACTGTATATCGTCGTTGCGACCTTGCTCACAGCTTCCAAAGAAAGTGCAGCGCCGTTGGAGAACGCTGGTTGGTTCTCTATTTGCAATCGTGATCCGATCGAATTCATTTGCCACCGGTTATTGCTCTATCGCGCGTTTTGACATTATCCGCCCGAATATGTTTTCCACAGAAACGAAGCTTGTCTTCTCATTACGTCACAGCGTCGATTCTGAACTGAACGCATGATACTTCGTGAGTAGCTGTCGCTTCTTTTACAATCATGACCAAGTAACGCCTTACGGCAACTGAAACACTTTTCGGCAAAGGCGATGTCAAGTGTTTCACCTTTCCTCGTTTTGTTTACAAGAGTACTTTCGATCTTGTGTGTCTGTTGTAGCAATATTTTTGACACAAACGTAAATAACATTTTTCTATTTTTCTTTAGTTTACTGCAGATATCGTAGCTAACTGTGTCCTTTTCCGTATCGTTTTGAAAATATACAAGATGATGCTTCCTGATTGGTAAAAAGTCAAATTTTAAATTTAATTTTTTTCTTGTTTGTGATCAAAAGATAGCTTATGAAGATGATTCAATCAGAATTTACAATTGGAACTTACAAATTTGTTGTTTTCTCTTATACTAGTCAACTCACTGCGTATGTGTTATATTTATTGTTTCTGTCAAATGTCAAATCGTTGACATATATATTCATGGTTCTTATTTACACAAAAAATCTTGTTACATGTCAATAGACATTACACAAAAAATATGTATGTTCTATTTGCTACAAAAGAAGGCCCGGAAGGTTTATTTAAAAAACTACCGTCGTAATGACGCGTGCGAGTCAGTAAAGTATTGTTGGCAGTTTCCTCACAGGCGTTTGTTCCAAAAAATAACAGTCTTGTTACATATCAATAGATATTATGTGATGAAATGCTATAAAAGAATTCTAGAACATCTTTGTTCAGAAAAACAAATGATAATAACTCGCTCGTATTGTAAAAACAAAATAAATGTATCAATGTGAGGTCAGTATCGAGCAAATAAGATGGAGTTATAAATATTACCAATTCAACTAATAATTAAACAATATTTAATACGAAACGTTTCGACATTCACAGATGTCATCTTCAGTCGCAATGTACAAGTTATAATTAAATTAAAGTTGTCATGGTGCAGATATCTTGTGCAGAAATTATGTTACTGTCGTCACATTGTAAAATAAAACTGAAAAGTTTAAGTAATAAATACATACACAGAAACTATTATAAAGTAACTCACAATAAATATAAAAAAAAATATAAAATAAAATAAATATAAAAAAAAAGTCGAAAGAAGCTTACAGAAGTATAGAGTCAAATACTAGACAAACTCAAGAGACAAACATATTTATTAAAACATAGTAGAGGGGATAGAATAAACCGTTGGATTTAAGATTTAGATAGAGTCATCTTATTTAAAGGATCGAAATAGGCACCATTCAGTAATTCAGTGTCAGTAACTAAATTGAGACCCTGTCGTTGTTGTTTTATGTGAATTTTTGTCTCGGAAATTAATCTCTTGTAAAACTTTGGCTCTTTATCTAAAATTTGCACATTATCCCAATCAAAGGAGTAGTCAAAATTTAAACGGTGTTGTGAAATAACTGAAGATTGAGTAGTATTTCTCGATATATTGTTAACATGTTCTTTTAGTCTTGTTTTTATTTGTCTCTTGGTTTGTCCTACATAAGACGCACAATAATCATTACAGTTGATTTTATACACAACGTTGCTGCTAGAAAGATGAGGTGTGATGTCCTTGTGGACCTTTAATAAATTCAATTTATTGAAACATTTGTATCCCGTCAAAACATCAGTGCTATGAAATGCTCGTTTTACACATTCAGATAAATGTTTTATATAAGGAAACACTAAGATTTTTGTTCAGACATGTGTGTGTGAAGTTGGCATTTTTTCGAATTTCGTATTTTTAATACTTGTGCCGTATTGTGTTAGTACGTTTGTCCCGATTTGTGCCGCAAACTGCAGCTCAATATTTTAAATAATTTTTCAGAAAATTAAGAAAAACGCAATTTTTGCTAGCTCCGCATTTTACGAATTTTGAGTTTTTATTGATTGTGCTGTCTTGTGCTAGTTATGCCATTTTGTATCTCATAAAGCGTGGCTCAATATACAAGGTGTCCTGTAATTGCCGTCTCACCGCTTGTTGGCAGGTAGAAGAGATTATTCTAAGACGAAAAGTCCTATACCACTTTGGAAGATTCACAATAATTAATAAGATATAAATTAATAAAGATCCGCTAATCAGCGTGCATCCAGCGTAAGGACAGCCCAGTCTGTCGCGCCGGAATAGCGCGGATAGCACGCTGCCCAAACGCAGCCTGTATGCTGTCTATGTATGCATGGTATGTGTGTGCAGGAAGAGGAGTTCTAATGCTATTCTTTTTAAGATAAGGATGAAACAAATTTACTAGCAAATTGAACTGCTCGGGCCACATTCTATACAATCCAAAGAATTCTTCGTGGTCACTTTGAATCAATTCTTGAACTAGATTTTGATAAAATCCTTGAGCATTTCGTAGTCTATTCATAGGACGAATCCATCGTTGCTTCGTTCTCTTTCTTCTTATAACTTGCCATTGTAAGAGCAATAGAGTATGCCAAGACAGACAAAAGAAAAAAAAGTCCAATTTTATTTAAATTCATTAATGCTAATTTATAAAAGTAACCTGTATCATTGGGTGCGTTCAGACAACTCAACGGTTGAGAGATCATCACTTATGATAGGACTATTCTTCAAAATCTGCAGCGGTTCCAAAAGTATGATCCAATCAGAAGTGATTATCTCTCAACCGTTGTGCAACTGTTGAGTTGTCTGAACGCACCCATTATGATCACTGTCGTCCATGTAACCTCAAAAGTTTTGTTTTTGCATTGCCCGATTTTATAGGTATCGTTACTGTCACTTTCATATTGTGGACAGACACGGTCATAGGAATTACGCTACTGCTTGCGTCTTACTTCTTTAAGAGCCGTCTACAATGGAGAGTTGTAGGCCGTAATAGTAAGAAATTGACCAATTACAGACAAAGTACAGAAGAATAATTGATTGTGATTGGTCAATTTCTTACGACTTACGGCTTACGACTGTATTGTAGAACAGGCCTAATGCCAATCCTATTGTAGACGGCCATTAAACGAGTTGTAAACATGGCGGTAAGCATGGGCGGGAGATTGGGCGATACCGTACGAAAAATCTGCACGGCACATCTTACAATTGTGTTGAATTACGAGAGAGAAAAAGTGTTGTCACCAAAAACTTTTCTCCAGATGTCGCAAAAAGAGAGCGTCGTCAAGTTCAAATTTCACTCGTAAGTAATTTTGTCTTTGTTTGGCATCATTCAAATAAACACACGTGTGTAACACGGTCGGTATTGCGGGTATGTAAAATTTTTTTCTTCTCACAATTTGGTTTCTTCGGGACGCGAAAGAAAAATAAAAAGCGCGCTATTGTTAACAGCAATATTGCTCGCCAGAGATTCATTCATAGTTTATTTCATTCTTTTTTATCAATATCTTATTTTATTCAGTGTATATTATATATTATTGTATATGTATATTTGTACTATGTATTTTATAAATATATCCACAACGTATGTTAACTATAACACATACACATGCGTACTCATTTGTTTCTCGTGATCATTTCGCACAACATCCTCTTTGTTACGAGGTCATATACTACGTATTGATTAAAAAAAATCTAATGTGTGGTGTTGCATTTAAATTCCTTTATTAAAATCTCAACTCTAAAAACAACGCAGAGAAAGAGAGAAAGAGAGAGAGAGAGATATGAACATTCTCGTTATTACACATAAATGTCGATTCTTGTGCGAGTTTAACTCTCGATCGAATAAACAATTATATTCAGGGTTTCAATAATAAGTAGAGCCTTTTTACAAGTTTTAACGGATTTTTATAATTCAAAAACTTAAAAATAAATAAATATATATATATATATCTTCTCATAAATCTCTAACATACATATATGAGATACTTTCGTCAACAGTTCGATAAGACTATCATCATCATCATCATCATCATCATCATCATCATATCGTAAATACACGCGCTCTTAAAAGACTTGAGCGCTGTTTGCGCGGCAGTTGAAAATACGAAACAAGTAGAAATACAAAATACTGCGTGGGAGTATTATAGGCGCGCGTGGTAGATATATGTAATAAACAAGAAATCACATTCGATGAAAGACTATATCTATGCAGGAGAATTTTTTTTTTTTTACTTGTAGTGCGTACGATGGCAGATTTTATGCTCATCTCCAATGATCAATCGATGCTCGCAAACACGCGCGTGGGTTTGATATATCTTATATATATATATATATATATATATATATTATTTGCGTGAACGCTACGCTTTACAATTTTGTTTTTCGTCTTTTTTTTTAAGGCGCAGTCGTCAAAGAGATTTATGTATTTACCGTATCGAAACATATAAAACAATTCCACACGCTATAAACTAACTTACACTTTATAGTTGACAAATGGGTTTTTTCTTTTTTTTGTCGTCGCGAAATCATATTTCGAATATTACAAGATTGTTTATATGTTTTTTTTGTTTTGGCGTGATTTTCCAAGAGATTCGTATTATATATATATATATATATATATATATATATATATATATATATGTATATAATTCGTATATATTGACCGTGCACGTAGGTTTATAATACTAGTTTTAGAAGAGAGTTTTGTTGCCGCGAGCGTTACAACGCTCGTTTGTGTCTGTATTGCTTTGGCATCATAGTCGGTGCAGTTCGTACATTTCAGCGACGTGCTGCGTGCCTAAAAACAGAAAACAAGTCAAACGCCATAAATCACGCGAATTTTCTCATCAGACGATTTTTTTTGCTTATGATGACTTTGATACCATCCGTTTAATTATTTGGAAGTCACAACGACCTGATCGAAACTTGTGTATTTTTTTTTTTTTTTTTTTTTTGAGCTCCGCAACAATTTTTTGTAGGCATGTTCTGTTGAACAAATTTAAGAAAAATTATTACAAGTGTACAAATTTCCGAACGCTACAGAACAACAACAAACAATGTAACGTGTTTTACCTCATCAAGACTCCCAAATTATTAAACGGCACACATTTTATAAGCATTTAAATCTCGTTAGTTAGCACACATTTCAAATTTAAGACACAAAATATATAGTAACCCGATTGGATCAAATATATTATGTGAAGAAGATTGATTTTTTCATTTCTTTTTTTTTTTTTTTTTAAATTTGGGAGTTGACTTCATGAGGCTTACAACAAGATTTAATACTGTGTGTACAATAAACACGACACTTTTCTAACGAGATTTAACTGCTATAATTGAAATATATGATAATACATATGATTAAAAATTAACAAATAATACATTATGAACATATTGTATATACATATATATTATTGTGAACCAGTGAAAAGTCCAATAATTACCACGGATCACAGTTTCTACATACCGAGTAAAAATAAATAATTACTTTTTTTTCAATTAACATATTCATTATATATTTGTACATTACCTCTTCTAAAATATGTTCTCTATATATGTATTTTTGTTTTATTATTATCTCACACATAGTTTTGAAATTAATTATGAAATCATCAATCAATCGCTTATTATTTAATTATGAAAATAAATATTTCCGCACACAAAAGATATTTATGTGGTAAAGTTGTGTATAACCCGGCGTAAAAAACGTATCTTTAGTTTTTTTTTACACTTCTCTTTGTGAATAATAAAGGAACAATAACGTCATGTATATTTTGTCATTAGAACTCAGCATACAGACACTTTTTTTTTTCATAATTTTGATAAAATTCTTGCATCTCTTTAAGCAACATTTCTGATTAAAACCGCGATCATAACGTTTTTATACAGTTCACGTATTCTTTTTTCGAGTATATATATATATATTTTTTTTGTGACAAAGAAATATGAAATATATTCAAAAGCTCTGTCCCTGAAAATTGTCAGTTATTTTGGATAACACTTGGTCCATAGGATATAAGGATTGTATGACGCTCAGAATCTGATTGAACTATACTTTCTCACACAGTGCTGAAAAAACTGCACCTGATAACTTCATAAACTTCCACATTCTCAGATGTAACAGTTAATAGAAAATAGGCTATAGATGTATAAATATGTAATAATAACACTTTCTCAATGATAAAAATAGTTGTACAAAATATCCATAAATAGTATGTAGAAAAAAGAACACATACATTGTTCAAAAAGATAGGGCCAGCTTCTACGAAACATAGGCCAAATATTTCATATCAGATAGTATGTCACTACTTAGTTCGCGTATTGTGTATATTTAATTGATATTGTTTTTGTGAGACATATATAAGAAATAAATGTATACTAAATCTATAAAATTACTGTATGCTCTTACAAAAGCGGTGACACACTACGCAAATCATCTACAACAAACAAAAACAAAATTCTCTAAACAATTCACTAGGCATCTAACACATTTATGTAACATTTACATCCTACTCTTGCGTTACTTCAGTTATTATATTAATTTAGAAGTTTTTGTTCACCACGTGATCATGTCGATAAAGATAACGTAATTACGACAATTGTGCGTAAGATATGTGAAGAAAAATATTTTGTGCTGTTAAAATAACTTAAAATAATATTTCGTCTCTCTGTATATAATATGATATTGTTTCATTCTTTTCTCTTTAAAATTATAAAATATACCGTCTCTATTTATAGTTACATTATATCTGTTATATACTTGTTTAAAAATTATCTGATCAAATGAAATACTGACCGAGAGTGCGTCGGTATGAAGAAACTCAAGTTATACGTACTTACTCGATACTTACGACAATTAGCGAATGGATTAAAGATTTAAGAGAGCGAAGCGTGAGAATATTCACCGAAATCGATCGAAAGAACTTGAAAGATGCCAAATGTATATCGCGCGTGGAGATGTCCGCAGCAGCGTGTGATTGTTTAACTCGTGTGTGACGAGATTATAAATACGTCTCTGAAAACTCAATGTCAGAAGCGGAAGCACGGGAGGATTTTGTACAAACAGAAATACCCCCACCGATAGCACTGTCCGAAGTTCCCTCGCCGGTCGGATAGTCGGCTACAATGAAAGACTGCTTGGGTTGACCACCTTGTCTGCAACGACTCGTCCCCTTCTGGCTGTCACGCTCAGCTAGCTTCTGCTTGATGGCTTGAATCCTTTCTTCTTTCTAAAGCGCACAGAATAAATGTTGTAAATAATTATAATATCTTGTTATAATTAATTGAGACAAAGTGTAAAACCGAGTAAATTGACACAAAATATTACGTATTCTCTATGTTTCTCACCGCTGCGATAAGTTTCTGAAGCTCGTCGTTTTCGTTGAGCAGTTTCTGATATTTCTCCTCTTCCTCCTTGGATACCGCACCATCGGGATTGTATCTCGACTCGGATTTGTCTCTCGGATGCCTGATCACCTCGATCACCTTCGGCACGAAGATGAGCGCCATACTAAGGAAGCAACAAAAGATTGTGGCCAGCGCCGAGAAAGCGTAACTCGCGTCCTGCTGGCTAGAAATGACCGTTACCACGGGTACCGTTATGAGACATAGAACCACGATATTATATATCGACATTCCAACGTATCTCGAATCATTGATCAATTTGATTTTGATGCTTCTCGTCTCGTAAGACAGGAAGAGCCCGAAAGCTAGAACGAGACCTTTGTAGCCATAGAGCAAACCTGAAAAAAATTATTCTCATATTTCATGTATGACTTTTTCAATTGTGGACAAAATTATCAGATTGTTGGCGTACAAATTTTTTTCCTTCGCACAAACCGCAATGTGTAACTTACCGAACCACACATTATTGTGCTCGCTCTCGCAATGTTCCAATTCGGGCTTGATCATCGCATCTTCGTCGCCGTAAGGAGGTGCCTCCAGCGAAAAAGTCTCGATCTTCCTCTTCAACGGATCAACCACTTGCCAAGTGACGAGAAGGATGATATCCACCGACAGCAACCCGCTCAACATTAGGTACAGCTTACACGGCTCAATCTTCTTCTGTATGGACGAAACTTTTTGTTTAGCCGTCAATAACTAAAAGGAATCGAGAATAGGATTAAAGATGCGGGACATACGAGCAGGAACAGCAAACATGCAGGATGGTTCTTCCGTCCTCGCGAAAAACTACAAATCAATATTGATTATTAGCGCAGGATTCACGAAAGGAAAAATGCGGATTGTCTTGATAAAAAAAAAAAAAGAATAATTCTTGGTACTGAAAAAACATGTCTTGCAAATAGTACACCATAAAGACACGTTACTCGCGCCATTTTGTAGTCAATAAAACTTGGACCGTCTCTAACTATTTTACCTTGCTACTTACTTTTCCCTGCTCCGCTTTTGCCTTCGTGGACAATCGATGGACTCTCCACACTTTACTGAACATGGCACCAAACGCGAGGGTGAAACCAGTCGACATCGCCCACGCTCTAGCTTGGCAGATTATCAAAAACTGCCACGGGGTCACGAATCTACCGTCAATCCCGATACACAACACGGCAAAGAAGCAGCCTATTATTCCCACCAGCATTATCGTATTCGCGGTGGGATGAGACGAGTATATAACTCTGAAAGATGAAAACATCAGTACATATATGTGTATCTACTAATGTAGCGCGATAACGCATCATTTATTTATGCAACGCGGATGAAGTACCTTCGGTGCCTATTGTAGACGTTAAATATGATTAATCCAATGGCGATCAGAATGCCCAGAATCGACAAAGCCGCCATACTTATGAATAAGGGCAGTGACACCGTTCTTAAAACGATTCTTATTATCGTTCTGTCTTGCGGCACCTTGCCGCCGATCCACCGCTCGACGTTGCGCCACGTCAGATTGTCGCTCTGCGTATCGTAATATCCTAACTTGACATACTTTCCGTCGATCACTTGCTCGATCTGAGTCAGAGCGATCCTGTCGCCCTGCGAGCTAAACGCGACGTGACCCTGCGAAACGAATAAAATTCTCACGTTGAAGAGAAGAAACAAACGCGAAAAGTCACATCGAAGATTCGAATGTGTACGTACCGAAACTCCGAGAAACTGGGTCGAGTTTACGGCCGCGTATATCTCATCGGCAATCTCTTTGTTGTCGTAGGTGAAATTCTTCAAGCTCTTCCCCATTTTGCCGAGTCTCTCCATGGTTCTGTTAAACGCTGATGGCAGAAACAAAAAGAGATAAGGGAATTATCTGCATATCTCCCGACTGGTTGGAATCGCAAGTTACAAAACTTTCATTAAAAACAAAACTCACCTAACGCAACGGACCAGACCGCGTCGTAGGCGAGAGGCGCCTCCTGATATCCCTCCGGATATCGATTGTTGTCTATGTCGTAACCGTCGTCCTTAAGCAATTTGTTCAATCTCTTGCGGAAGTCCTCGGCGGTCATGCCGCTGATCGTCGTGTCGTTGTTTTGATTCCACATGAGAGCCTCGGTGGTCAGGTGTCCCTCCGCCGCCATTCGCATCTGCTCCTTCGTGCAAGGAATGTTCTCCTTTTCCAGATTGATCTCGAACCAGTCGTCCTCGTACCAGCCTATGAAGAACCACACGTAGGTCTTGCCGTAGAGGTTCTGCTGATAGAGCTCGCAGAGTACCCGCCTCGCGGCCACCACGTAAAACAAACCGACGATTATCCGCGCGTCCTGACGTCGCAGGTTTTTCACGGCGTCCGTTGGATCCGACAAGAAGCTCTGACGAGTCACTATCTCTATCCCAGCTTCTTTACACCGCGCTTCCAGATCTTCGACGGTCTGTGAGAAACACAACATTTCTCTCGCCAATTGAGAATGCATTTATTATTCTTCTACGGAAAAGCGACATTTGTTTTTTCTATACGTGATATTTCCTACCGATATAAACACTTCTTCAGCTTGCTGTAATATCGCCACGCGTGACCAACCGAACTTTTGCAACAGTTTAATTCTTGTGGGATTGTGCACGGTGGCGGATGGATGAGTCCTGAAGAGAGTCGGAAAGCGATTTCGATCGGACAACGCTGGCGACGACGCGCCGTAACACAGCTGAGAGAAAAAAAAATGTTACACGCACGTTCTCACGTATTCTTCACGCGACGAACATAATTGCGATGTAATTTAAAGACGCGTTCTTTCCCCCTCCTCCCCCCTCCCGTCGAATGTAATTGAAGACTGGAAATGTGTACTCACCACCACCAGGTTCCACATTTTCGCCGCCTCGGCGACTGTGGTGCAGACCGTGCTGCATCCGGCTAACAACATTAATTTATAAGGTGAAAAGTACAGTAAGTTGTACATCACAGAGGCGCCGAGACCGGGTTCGCACTGAAAGAGAAATGGCGATAAATTACTGGGCGGGTAATTTTGGGGTGCGCGCGACGGTAATCCCATTAAATGCATCCTCGTGAAATTTAGGTACCTCGCTGTCGTTAGAATGAAGATAGAGTCTGTATCCGCGTAACAAGTTTTTTTCGCGATTAACGTCCTCTAAGGCCAGGTGCGCAGCTGGCATACAAGCCTGTTGAATAAATGATAATGTAACTCAGCCTGATTAACTTCCCACTTTAATGAACAAGTTTTTTTTTTTTTCATGCGAAAAGCAGTGCCGGACGTGTGCGAGAGTCTTTCTTTGACAAACTATTTTTTGGGAAAAAGTTTTCAAATTACTCGGAAGACAAAAATCCTCTGAACAATTCGATGTCTGGTTGTATACGTAATTATAAATAATTATATGTAATTTATTCGTGAGAAATAATTATTGATTATTCATGAGATTTCATTATTTACAATTATAATTATGTTATAATTATATAATGATAATATTAAATATTTATAATTATATTATTCGCATGTAATAACAAGCGCTATCAGAATTACTGTAAAATTTTGTCAGAAGCTGTTTTTTCTAATTTTGGGAAGAGAAATGGAAAGATCCGTCAAACGCGAGGCGGGGAAGAACATTCTTTTATCTATAAATTCCGCTCGTCACCGCGAAAACTTCGGGAATCTGATCTTGGGAAAGTTTCGAACGGGTAGGGTTTGTAAAGTGCACAAGGTCATTTATCAAACGGTTCGGGTAAGAGCGCGGCCAAGCAAAAAAAGTAGCAGAAACGATTAAAGTTACAAAATAAAGTGAACGTAAACACGGTTCATTATGAAACTAAGAATCTGAACAACAGGTAAAGAAAAAAAAACACGATGCATCTTTTATCGAAGAAAGAAGGCTATTACTGGGAAACGAAGCGCGCGCTAAAGAGGTGATTGAAGTTCTCGTGCGCGAGCTTCTCGTGATTACAAGACACGTAAGGGACACTCTAGTTTGCTTTTATCGCAAATTCTATCGATAATCTCTATATACATTATACACACACACACACGTTAACTGCCTTCAACAAATAAACAACACAAAGTATTGAATTTCATTAGAGGAAAAAATGGAAAAAATGAAGAGAAAAAACTAGTCGTCGGTCTTACCTGGCCGCCCTGCCAGCCGCCCTCGCCGGCGATAGGGAAGATACCGCCGATGTGCAGAACGGTCTCCTCCTCGTCTTCGGGCGGCAGCGACGCGTCGGTCCAGGAGGCTGCTATTAAAATCACAATTAAGCCCAACAACATCGCGCATTGCCGGGGAAAGCCGCTCGCCATTCCGCCAGCAGCGTCTTGCTCTCGCGCTCGCTAAAATCGTACGTTTTTCCTCTCTCTTCTACGACATACCGGGTGTAGTGGGACACGTAGTGGCAAAATCGGTGGTGGGCAATGCCGTCGAGAAAGTGCTCACTGCCATCGTTCTCCGATTGACCTCGTCCCCGTCGTCGTCGTCGTCGTCGTTGTCGTCGTTGTTGTCGTCGTCGTCGTCGTCGCCTCGCGACTAATCGAACACCCTCTTTTTCTTTCTTTCTCTCGCTCTCTGTCTCTCTCTCTCTCACCCCTTTCGCGACACTGCTCTGCGTTCGATCGCTCCGCGAATCTCTCCTCGCGCGAACGTCACTTCTCTTCTTCGTCCTTCCTCGTTACTCCACCTCTCAACGCCTCGGCCTCGATCGATCCGCAATCAATTCCGCTCGTTTCCTCAATATATTACGAGGTTTTCCACGGTTGTGGAACTTGTCGCGATGTTTTTCCGCACTCTCTCTCTCTCTCTCTCTTTCGGAGTAGAAAAGCTTCTCCCCACACTCGATCGGAGAACCCGACTGTCACGACGACGAGGAGGATCTTCTTGACTTTTTCTTGACGCTCCGCTCGTTTTGTCTCGCAAACTCGAAAAGTCGGGAAAGGGTGGCCACCCTCCGTTTTATATACGGGCGTATCGACTGATTCGATCGTTAGCAAAAAATGAGGATTATTCGCAGAGAGAGTGAGATTGAGAACCGGAGGCGAACCGCTCTTCTCTTGACACTTTGCGCGCGAGGAATATCGCGTGGAAGTGACGATTCGCGGCGGTGAGCGCGCTTCGCGGGCGTATTCATATCGATTCTCAACCCCGGAAGGGACTTCGACAAGCTCGGAGGTGGGGGTTGTGATATAGAATGGCTCCGTTGTGAAAACGGCGCTCCTCACCTTCGCGCAAAGATCAATATGACGCGGCCGATTCGACCGAGAATTCGATGTCACGACGAGGATTGCTCAGTTTTTTCGTTTTCTCGGCAAATGTCGAAGAAAATATTGCGAGACATGACCAGATGATTTCCGTGTACACGCACATTACGTTCCAGTCGAATAATCGAAGTGACATCCCATGTGACAAGTCGGAGATCGAGTATCGAATTTGTGTCGGGTTCGCGCAATCGATAAAAAAGTCCGTCAGCTGATTCTCTGGAGTCAAAATGGCCGGCACAGCGGCGTCGTGAGAGTGTTCCGTCGGAGATACACTTGTATTTCGGAGCAAAATGACTACGCAACGTGCGCTTCCGCAAAGCAAAGAAGCTTTGCTGAAGTCGTACATGACCAGGTTAAAGGACGATGTAAAATCGATGTTGGAAAATTTCGAAGGTAATTTCTAACCTGTCTCCTCTAGTATGTCGCGATGTTCTAACCTAACCTATATCTGTTGTGAACTCATTCGCACTGTTTGTTTTCAGAGATAATTAAACTGGCAAAAGGGGAAAATGATTCTCAGCTATCTCGAATGACACAATGCGAGCAAGACACGTACGAGATGCATGTCAGAGCGGCCAACATAGTACGTGCCGGCGAGTCGTTAATGAAACTAGTCTCCGATATAAAGCAATATTTAATCCTGAACGATTTTCCATCCGTGAACGACGCTATAATACAAAACAGTAAGTTATTTAGGACTAAACAAGCGGAATGTGATCAAAAGTTGGCTTCCTTGAGAGACGACATGGCCGCGGATCTCTACGACCTGGAAGAAGAGTATTACACTTCGATATACAAATAACACTAAGTTCGTAAGATTTTCACACGTGCGTAAGACTGTTGAGATTTTTGATTTGTAACTTTTATAATTTATTTCAATAATTGGAAATTTTGATTTTTATTAACACGCAACTGTTTACACCTCGCGTTTGTGTCCCATTAGTGTGGTGGGGAAAGGGAGTGAGCAAAAGCTCCGCTCGAACGAAGAGAATTAAGGAGTAATTGTCTCTTTTATTACTTTGATATTTTGCAACACATAGACAGAATACATCACACAATACTTTTATATCAGTAGGGTATGCTCAAGAGGATAATATATAAGATCCAAGCGCTTCGCTTATCAATAGTCACCGCTTGTATTGTTTTTACTCAAAGTGATGATATTTTGCGATACTGTACAAATATAATTTACAAAACTTCTTCTGTATCAGAGCAAGAAGATTAACGATTATGAATAATAATTTGACAAATCCAAAAACAAAAAACAAACTTATAAAACACAGATTTTAGAATTTGGAATGTTACGCAAATTTATAATCTCACTTGCTCCTCGCCGTGTGTTCATTCTATTGTAGCTAACGAGTTACACAGACAATATCAACAACTCACACACTGCCGAGTCTGATGCGACAGATTTGCATAGAAATTATGTTTGTAGACTAAAAACAAAATTAACAAAAGAATATCACAGTGTGGGACAATAAACGCTGTGACACACAAAATACATGCCTTTTAAACAATATACGGTGCACATCACAAAATTATTATTCCGCTGAGAATTTGATACAGCAACTAAATATATAAATTAAAAATATCTTTGAGAGTCTAACAAAATGTCGCATCAGTTTGTTTTTTTTTTTTTTTTTTTTTTTTAATGTACTCGTAATAAATTAATTGTTTTTTTTTATCACGCTTTCTCTCGCTCTCGAATCGGTTCACTCCGTGTCCAAGTAATAAAATTGCAATATTAACTCTACGCATACATCGCTACAATCATACATTATTAAATTACCTACAACTACAATCGCGAATCAAAACATTTTCAATAATTCTTGGTAACGCGCCCGAAATGTTACGTGGACAAAAAAAAAGATTACTTAACGCAAGAAGAAACAACAATTAATACAAGAAAGCCTAATCTTGGAGCAATTTCTCTTTTCTTCATAACTCGAAATGAAATAAATCGCACAGAAAAATTGATTTTTTTTATAAAAGAATCACAATAATTTAGTATATGTACAAAATTTAAACCGCTTATAAAATTAATAATTAATATTTAAATTGTCGTTTTCTCTAGGTGTCTTTTATGTTTGAAAGCTAACGTAGGTTTTTACGTATTACGATTCTTGAAAGATAAATGCAAATTCAATATGTGGAAAGACACTTGTACAGCAATGGCTCAATCCTGCATTTGCAAAGCACATACTCCTGATATTACGCCATTCAATACAAATAATGAATGTTCTGAAATTTACATTTCTTTACAGTTTTGCAAAACTTCTCTTCCCTGTGATTACTTATACTATACATATGTTATTAAATATACTAAATATAGACTTATGTTCTACTTTGGCAAAAAACGTTTACAAATATATATTTTTCCAACTGTTTTTCTTTGTCTTGAACATTTTTTTTTTTTTTTCTTCAATTGAATCTCTCGAAGACAATTCAATCGTTTGCCTCTTTCTACCAAAAACTTGGCATAAAATTCTCTGGCCCTCTACTGGCAGCTTGACAAAACTCACAGCTTAGCCTTAGAATAATCTCAAAAAGGAGTTACAAAATTCTTTCGCAATTCTCTTCTCCCATCGACTTTCTACCCTACAAAATATGCCAAAATGTGATATGCTTCATAGTTCTTTCTTTATAACTCGCAACAGGACATCAGTCGCTAAGCTCTTCAGAGCTGATACAAAAAACTTAGTATACTAGCACATCTTGGCAGTTTCGATTCATTGTCTAAGAAAAGTCCAGTTATTCGATATATAGCGTAATAATAATACAAAGTAAATGCATATACTTGGAATGATACTGTTAGTTCTTACTTAATCGTCTAAATAAACTTTGCTCTTAACACAATCGGCGCGTCCATGAGCGGAGATCGTTCTTTTGATTTTCTTTATTGAGTTTAGAGAAAGAAAAAAATTCATCTACGGTGTAATTAAAAAAAAAAAATTTGCGATATAATTTGTGGTCCGACATATCGTCCGATCACGAACGCGACGCTCATCTTTTGTATGAAAAATTTGTCCTTATTTGCAGTTGTGAGCATTCTTCGTGAACTTTTTTTTTTTATTAAACTTCAATATAAATGTTGAATTGTTTTTATTTTACTTTTACGTTTCTTTTCGCGAGTTTACCGCTAGGAAAAAAATATTCTGTTTAACCTTATAAGTCTTGGTTTCGTTTTCTTCTTAATTCTATTGCAAAAAGCACATTGAGCTGCGAATACTTCAATCTCTGTGGATATATATATATATATATATATCCTGCTTCTTCGTTTCTTCAATAAAGAAGATCCCCGGTCGTTTCTGAGCCCCAAGCGCCTGCGTCCTGAGCCGGTCTCAAATATTCAACTTCGCTCGAACTCTCGGTTTGTCCGGACGACGCGGTTCCTGCCACAGGAGCCGTGGTCGACACAGCTCTGGTAATGCCGAGTTCAAAGCCTTCCGACGTCAGATCCACCTTGCTGGGTGTGTAACTAGCTAATCCACCTCCGCCTGTGTAAACAAGAAACCAAATTTTTCTGTGGAATCACGCGCGCAAACAAAAATAATCTTCTCCCCGGAAAAGTTTGTGCAACGCGGGTGCAACTTGCGAGTATCTCGGTTCTCGCTCCGCACGCACGTTATGAAATATTATATTACATCACAGAAATTGCATCGAAGAAAGAAGCATCAAATATCAACCAGAGATTTGATCTTACCGAGAAGGGACGGCATGCTTGTCGTCGACGAGACGGTAGACGAGGTTTTGTTGTTTAACGCGGACTGTTGCTGTTTCTCGACAGAACTAGAAGTCTCGCCGTCCACGCTGCTGGTCTCGCCTTCGAGTATCGACGCTTCACTAGGATATTCGAAAGTACGGGTTGCCGTGTCGTCGAACTGTATTCGATGCTGAAATTACAATTGAATTGAACGATCAATCTCAACGATCATCAAGCAGCTCAAATCGAACGGCTTATTTACACAACAACAATTTGTAACCAAATTATGTCGCGCGCACAATGCGCAACCACGCACGAGAGAGAGAGAAAGAGATTTACTCTCGGGCTGAGAGAACATATGTAAAAACACATGTTACGCAGTACCGGCGAATACATGCTCGCGCCTTTTAGCGGAACAGTTACTCGCGGAAAAATTTTACAAGGCAATTCGCCCGCGTAATAAGCGTGGCTGCGCGCCCGCGTACAATGAAAACGGAGTGTACCGGGAAGAACAAACAACGGCGATCGCATGTAATGTAGCCTGGAATAACAGTAACCGGTCACACTCGTTGCTTTTTCGACTTCTAGCAGGCGAGCGAAGCGCGCCGTCCGTCCCTCAACGCCTCCTCGTCGCCGCTTGCTTCGTTCGTCGCGCGAATTAAAGAGAAAGCGCTTTTTTTTCACGGCTGATTAAATTCGTCCCATTAATAGACGACGGGAATGAAGGAAAAGGTGGTATTTCACTTCTACGATGTTTTCTGCTAAAAATGTAAAATATTCACGGCGCAGACTCTCGTCTACCTACAATTCCTCTACGTGCCTACTTGTTTAAATATATTCTTGGAAAGTGTGTCTGAAACAGGATTCTTTTTCCCAAGAAAAGCACAAGCTATTTATATATATTAGTAATAAATAGTAAATTTTATTCAACATTTATTTATTTATTTATTTTTTTAGTATTTCTCTATTCGACAACAAAAGATATACATTATAAAATATCTAGACTTTTGTTAAATAACGAAATTCAGTTTTACTCAATTGTGTAGTCACCCGTTCTCGCAACTGGCTGCTATGTCAGACCAGCGGTAACAGTACCAGCGATTATTTCGACTAGGGGTTGACTGTTGCTCGCTTATTACAATTATATGTACGAACCGTTCCCGAGGCGTCGTGAGATCACGCTTAGACAAAAACCACATCGGCACGAGATTAATCTCGCACACCTAGCAGTACAACCCCGGTTGGTTCGTTTGAGGAAACCGCGAACTTCCGACGCGTGACCCGCCGATTAAATCAACATTGTATCGTTCCCTCGTCGCAACCCTCTCGACGACGAGGGATCACAAAAAAAAATAAATAAATAAAATAAAACGAACTCTGTGTGTGCGTGTGTGGTCTAAAAGACGCGAAAATCGCCTTTGAATTGCATTTTACCGCACTTTCTAAAAGCCGGCGCCCTACTTTTCCGGAGGACTTCTTCTCCGTACGCGTCACAAATTGTAATTAGCATTTTCTCACCGAGCGAGTGAATGCGACAATCGTGAACCGTTCCGGCTAGCTGGTTAAGTGGCATTTAACATCGAAACTTTTGAGGAACTTTCCACCATCGTTCCGTCTCCACATTCGGAGATCCAACTTGTTGGGCGCGACAGTTAAATAATTTGATATTCTACATCGCTTCCACGTCGGTTTAAAAATAGAAATTCAATCACGTCGGCTGCTCGATAAGATTGACAGCTAAGGAAAAAAAAACGTGAATATTCGAAATGATTGATTAAAAATACTAGTGGGGAGAGACAATGCACGGGATGTGACGGAACAAACATCAATCGATTCCTCGATGTGCGCGACTGTCTCTCTGATCTCCACCCGATTAGATAGATTTTTCGATCAATTAATTGTTGAACGTCGATCTTCAGACGAAATCAAATGATTGTGATTGTAATTGCGTGGCAATTTCACTGATGTGCGGTTTCCAATCACGTGATTCATATTCCTTCGAATTTCCACGAATAATTTTGAGTGGTCGGAGACGTGAGCTAATCGCGAGCTAATTATCCGTTCTTCCATTGCGCATCGAAATTGCAAATCTTTGCAGCGGTTGTAATCCATACTGTCTTACACATATTTCGCCGTAAATTATAACTTTCTTGAAAGAAAGTAAAAAAACAAAAAAAAAACGTACGCATTAGACAACTTGTTTTTCCTCTTTCGACTTACGACCGAGGATGTGCGAAAAGACGCTAGTGAAAATGGAAACAAAAAGACTTTCTTCTCGGAAGTGTTGCGAGCTCCACAAGTCAATAAACGTGGCGCGGATATATTGAACTGACGAGTATTGAATATCGGGATGGAAAGTTCTGTCTCTTTAACCCCCCGTCTCTGAGAGACGAGAGAGCGCGTAAAATCGCCCATTAAACCGTTCCGAAAGATGTATGCAACCATTTCGCATAAAGACCAGCGTGTGTTCGCGGTCTTTATTCTGTTATATTGATTATCTTCGCGAATATAATAACAGCGAACGATTGCCAACGGAGCTCGATGGAGCGTGTAATTTAGCTTCGTTGGTATATGCCCGCGCAAAAATTGATCGTGTTATATTCTTGTGCCTTGACATGTGCAAAAAAATTTCAGCGCTAACCTTTTAGTCTTCAATTATTGTGAGGTCAATGCGAAGTGTTTTTTCTCAGATCTGAGATATATGTAAAATACGTAAATTATTTTGTGTAAATAAATTAAATTATTATACGTAAATTAATTTGTTGATTTAATAAAATGATATTTTATATCTCAGGTTGTCTTCTCTCTCAAAGTCGAAATAAAACTTGTCTCTAAAGACGAGATGGTTTTTTTTTTTAGTCACAAAACAGAATACATCAAGAAACGAATATCGTTTTCTCTCGCAAGCGACGACGCTAGCAATTTAAAAATTTGTTTCCAGCCTCGAGATCGCATGCGAGATGTGAGCGAACAATTGGAATGTAAGCGTGATACGAACTCTATGCGGGCAGAATATCAGTGAGTGACCTTTGAAAGAAAAAAAGAGAAAAAGAGAGAGAGAGAGAGAGAGAGAGAGAGAGAGAGAGAAGGTTACAACAGAGAGCCATACGCAATATCGGTCTTCCTGAAATACGAAGGCCGCGCGGCCGAGATAACGTTCAGAAACGGCAGGAAATTTATGGTCTCTCGCGCAACGTGTATCCTGCTAACAGGGATTCTCCCGTCGGTCTCGGGGGTTTTCCGCGACAGTGCTAATAAATGGACGAGACGCGCCACATAAAGGTCACGCGCGCGGTAAAAACTGGACGCGCGCGTCTCCGTTATGTCCTAGTAAAACTTGCGTATTACTCCTTGCGCGCCTCGGTTTTGCAATTAAAACGCGAAACAACACCCGGTGCGTCTCGTACCTCACGTCCGACTCGATTAAATCTCGCGCGGCGCAATGTTAATCGTCGCCAATTTAAAATGCTCGTCCGGGAGAAGCGATTAGAATGTTCATAGCCACAAACAAGGCGAATTACAATAGACACCGTTATTGGCTACGTGTGGAGCTGCGGTAGAGATTACGCATAATATTCCACGCGTGTGCTCGACGAATCGCTTTATTTGCACGAGCGCCGACCTCTAGCCGACGCGCGTCTTCGAGAGCGAGAGATTTTTAATTCTTTTGTTTTTGCGCGCGACACACACACCGCCAGAAATGTATGTTAAATCAATATAACCGAGCCACGTAATGCGATTGAATTACAGCTTCCTCCTCGCGCGGCGTAATCAACACGTTCCGGAGAGAACGTGTCGATAAAACAATTGTTCGTGCGACGCAAGTTGGCCTCAAGGACGCAAAACTAGACCGACGGTGTTTCAGAAACAGTTTACACTGATTGTGATCAATTTGTAAATACAACGGGTCTCTCTGCTCAAATTTCACTGACTCAGTCTGCGAGTTGAAATAATAAAGAAGCGGGCGTATAGGGCTTCTGTAAACGTAATGTTGACTCGATTTGGCTGATTCGCAAATCTAATCTTCTCGCGCCGTTTAAAGACTATTGCTATATTGTGCAATTAATCAAAGACCAAGTACATCGCACGTGCGTGCACAAATGCGCTCTATTATAAATAGCGCGCGCGTAATATGTGATATAACGCGCATGCTGCCCGCGCAATTAACCGTGAGCGGATACAGGCGCGCTTGGTTGCGTGAGCCGTCTTTACGCTGTCGCGGACAATGTTCGCAAATTACGCGTTGCTATCCTCTTATTACCTTCATGACTTCTCGTCCTCTTCTAAACGTGCATGTGCCTACGTGTGTATCTGTTAGATACGATATTCGCGGTCTTATATTTAAATATTGTCCTTAACCCTTTGCAGTCCAACGTCGACATTAATAAAATTAATTTGATCAGACTATTGGGAATGAGAAAAAAATTTGAATGGCAAAGGATTAAGTTCATCTTCGGATGAACTAGCTAAAACGTACAGCATCTTAGGATGAACTTAAGACCGTCTTAAATACAAGGTTGTATTACGCGCAACTTCGTAATGGGATCGGCAGACTTTGATTTGACATTTTTCGCGTATTATTTACACACACCCGCGTGTTTACACAGGAAACACATTAAATCCAACCTGACAGAGAATTTTGCAGAGAAAATCTCAGGTACGTGGATAATAAACGAAGGCCGCTTTACGGTCACGGTAGCGTGAGAGAAGTCGCAATCTCCGGATCGTGCATTAACGCTCTGCCCTCTTGCGTAAGAGACATTTTGCATAAAATTCAGGACTCGGTATCTCACACCGAGTGAGTCCTTCTATTCTATTATACATGTGGAAAAAGTTTCTCACGAGGAACGTGTTCGTTCGTTTCCTCTCGATAAGCCTCCGCTATCTCGTTCAAACCGTCTCTCTCTCTCTCTCTCTCGTAGGGCTTTCGAGACGAAACGCTCTCTTTGTCCTGATTTTCCAGCGCGCGGAGGAAAGGTTTATTGCTCGATTCGCGTGCGGGAGACACACGCAGCGAGGTGTGTGTGTGTGTTAGTCGTCAAACCGATTGTTGGCAAAGTGAAACTGTGTACGCGACCGCACACTGTAATATAAAGCGAATATCGTCGCGGCACCGCATTATCTCGCACGAGTAGACGCGCGACGGAAAGAGAAGAGAAATCATCTATCCGTGTGCGATTCGCGTTTTCTCATACGTTTTCGCAACTTTTCTCGCGATTTCATCGAGATCGATTCGCGAGAGACAACTGAATTCTCGGCTCCCGGATCATTGATCCAGGAGCAACGACCGCCGTGTTTTTCTGTGCGATCGATCGCAGGAGGAGGTTTATTATCCGCGATAACTCACCGAAAGGAATTCCGTCGTCGCGAATATAATGCGCGATCGGCCATCCCGCGTTTCCATCAATTCGACACGGTACACGAACACTGAAATAAATCCGAAGAAACACGCGATCCAGGAAATATCAGCTTTTCTGAGACGGAATAGCGACGGAGAGAGTAAGAACGCGAGACGAGCTGTAAAACAAAACGCGTTCCGGAGCTTATCGCATCTAGGAAAGAGATTCTCTCAGCCGATTTACTTTAGACCTCGAGCTACTGAATCCATTGGACAACAGTATCTAAACGATATTTTTACAAAAAAAAAAAAAAAACTGCTCGGTATCTCGATGTCAAATGCAAGTGGCGCACAGATTCTGAGAATATATATATATACACGTTTGCGGTATAGCGTTCTGTCGTATCGAAGCCTTCAAAGCTATTGTTGTTCACTCGACGTTATTCCCATAGTGCCACGGTAGATTTAACTTGGCGGACGAAGCGCTCGGAAATCATTCACCGGTTCGCGAATACGATACTTTTACTTATAAATTGGTATTTTATCGGTGTTGGTAACAGAACGCCTTTCGCATCGCGACGTCCAAGCGCGTGAGAAAATCGCGAGCGAAGCGAAACGACTGACAATTCGACGAAAATCATTTACGTACGTTATTTTAATGGGAACGATCGGAAACTCTCTGCGATACAGTACGAAATTATTTTGAAAACACTTTGAAGTGTTTGTTCTGTTCCACGAAGTTATCGAGACATTTTGACAAATTTGCTGTGTGACACAATGTTGCTCTTCTTCAAAATACACAGAAGCTCTTAAACATGACCGGGTGTCACGATCAATCAATTATTTCTACAATTGCATAAAAAATTTCGTGATAAGTTATCGGTGTACTGCGCGATCGGTGTACACGTTACATAATGCAACTTGTGTGTGTGTGTGTATCGCGATTCAGCCACTTTTCTCATTACGTATCTTACATCTCTTTTATAAATGACGCTTTGTTCGCTTATCTGTTGGCTGTTCTATCAATAATAGATTACATCAAAGTGCGTCGTGTTCGAAAAGATTTTTCAATACGATGCCTTGCTGCCACGCAGTCAGTTTGTCGATACCAACGCTGATAAAGTATCCTCCTATCTCCCCCTCTTCTCTGGATTTTTGCGTTATACGGACACATATCGAGAATTTTAATAACGCGTAAAAGTTTCAAGTTCTTCCTTTTACCGCAAATTCTCGTTAAATAATATCAGAACTGCGAAACGTCTAATTGCGAAGCGAATGTGATGACTAATTAAAAGCGTGTAAGTATAGTAAGAGAATTATTTCGAAAACAAAACAATCCTGGGAATTCAGAATCCGGCGAAATGGTGTCAAGAAAGAGAGTGCGCGCATAAAATGCACGTACATATGTAGTTTTTATTGTATTTTATTATTTTAAATAAAATCTGCAAACTATATGAAGGAAATAGTGTCAATAAAAAGTGTGACGCTTTTCTGTAACGTTTTATTCTTCCTTCGTGCGATTTGCAGACGAAGAACATTTCTTCGGCGACATAAATCGGTTCGTCACTTAAAATATTACGTGACGGAGGCGCGGACCAAAGTGTGAAAACCTTTTCTTTTCGAGAAAAAAAAATAACATTTCCTCGAGCCACGTGGGAGACTGACACATTGCGCGTCCGATCTCTCACGAAATGGAAATACACACATGGGTGCGCACGACAGGTTTTCTCATGTTGCGCGAACGAATCTTGAAATCTTCTATTTTTCGACTTAAAGTAGCCGGGCTGCAATTCGTGAATGTAATAGCAGGTGATTAGATTAGATACTTGTAACGCGTGTTGTTATCAACAGAATAAGGACATTTGATAAGATTTGTCGTATCGATGAGTTCAAAGCGGACTTCGCGCAATTGTTCACGGCAAAACGCGTATAGTTTTTTTCTTACTACAATATTAAAATACAAGTTTATGCTCTGCACCAGTTGGTTTTTTTCCTCAATATTTCAAAACGCTCCTCCGGTGAAAAAAAAAAACTGATCGTAAAGTACAAAATTGTGCAGATAAATTGCAGCGAGTAACCAGCCAGCGTTTGAAATTGTGCAACGCACAATCTTTCTCTACCGCGAGACTTAGTCGAACGAAGCGTCGTCACCTAGAACTGCAATCTCACAGCGAGAGAGTTCACTCACCTTGTGATTTCGTGGCGTCCTCGAGAGGTTGCTGCGTCCGTTGATGAGGACATTGTCGTTGAGAAACGACACATCGCAGGGTGACGGCGGACCCCCGGAGATCTCCCACTCGGCATCGTCGGTCGTAGACGCGTCCAAAGTAGCATCGAGCACTATAATACCGCCGTCGCCAACCGTCTGCAACAAGCACCAATGAAACTGTGTACGTGGAATGTAACAAACATTTGTAGAATGTATATAAGGAAGAGAACACATATCTCCTATCTTTTCCACCGAGAAGAACCTGTTGAGAACTTGTTTTATAAGTCGAGAGAGAGAGAGAGAGAGAGAGAGAGAGAGAGAGAGAGAGAGAGCAAAACGCGTTGTCACACGTGTATGAAAAAAATTCTCGAAGAAATTCTGTAAAAAAAAAAAATATTTTCATTTCACGTTCAATCGAGCAGCAATCGAATTACAGCCTGCGAATTTCGCGCGCGGCGCGTTTCCTTCATGTCTCTCTCCCTCTCTCTCTTTTTCTCACATTACACTGACGTGTTTTTCTCTCCGTGTACAATTGCAAATTATCCCAAAGCGATCTTCGCTATTCCGCGACGTTATTATTTTTCTCGTTTTGGTAACAATGGAGATGTTTCTCGAACGACTTGAAGGTGCTTTCAAACCTGCCGTGACTACTGGTTGCGTACACGCGAGACGTTAGTCGGTCATTACGGTTAGCGTCTTTCAAGACTCTCGTGAATGGGACATCCTGTCGAGTCGAGGAGAAAAGAGAGAAACGAAAAAACGTGAACGATGCAAGGCCTACATGGATAAACGCACGGCTCAAACGTAGAATTGCCCTTCGAGGGAAGGTTCCGGACGTCTCCGGTCTCGAAGTGAGCGCCTTTACAACGTGCAAAACAAGAGGATGTGCCAAAGAAAAAAAACATGCTTTATCGCAATTATCCGGCATCTATCGTCTGTGAGCACGCGTTCTATTTTCTTGTTTCAAGAGATATCATATTTATATAAATAAAATACAACAACAGTTAAACAATTCTTTTTAGTTTTTACACGAAAGCCGCACACGTGAGAAAATTCAAGTAATTAATAATTTTTGTGTAGAAAAATGACCAATAATTAAAAAAAAAAAAAGTAAATTCCAGATTATTTTTACGCGCAGCAAAGATGCGCGCGTGTGAAATCGAGTGGACTTGCAAAGGCGCGACCGATTTCCGGTCTACTTCCGGCCGGTTGCCGCGAGGGGAGATGGTCGTTCAGCAATTTTCGAAAGTGATTTTTTTCGGTGGTAATTGGCCTCGCTACCTCCTCCTCTTTCTCGAGTCGCATGACGATTTGGGTTGAACGTTCGTTAATCCAGAGAAAAATGCGGTCACGGATCATAAGACGCAGCCGCATTACGGACGAGCAACGATCGAGGCCGAGAGAGCAACATAATATCTGTATTTAAATATAAAACGTGGCGTACCGATGGCGAGATCTGTGCGGTGAAACGAGAGAAGCAAACAAATATGCGATTCCGTTTCAGCGGTCTATTATTTTCTTACTTAGAGATATTGATACACACGCGCCGAGCAAAATGTGTTATTTGCACAAGCGCGGCTTTGCGCGATATTTACGGACGAAACAACACAATCGCTTCTCCAATCCACTTTCTCCAACGAGGAAAACGGAAAAATGTAGATTTTGCGTCAACAAAACAATTGTGCAAAGTTATACAATTAATTGATACGTATACGCAACATGCGTATGTTACAAGACATATATCACATCGTTACATACTCAATGATATACTAGATAGGCAAGACAGAGACGTGAGAAGTAATCTGTGAGATTGATTGCACAAAAAATGATGATCGCGAGAAAAATGTAAAACGCGACGCACACTCGGGGAAGATCTGTGCGGATTAATTCGTCGGCTTCATTACGCAGGTAAATGCACACACAGGAATAAAGTATCGTGAGAAAAAAACTGTCGCACCCGACACTCAGCGTGTAATCTCGTATTACGTTCAGACAAATGGGCGGGGATTAAATCTGACAAACACAACACTCGGAGATAATGCTAATGCGACGTAACTGAGGTAAGCTGTCGCTCGCGCGGTGATAATTACAGTTCTTGATGGGATAATGTTATCGTCTTCATAAATTCAATTATCCGCTTTTTATTGAACTATATGTGTATGTGTGCGCGCACAGAAATAGAGCCGAACGCGTTTACGTGTGCGTTCGTTGTGTGTTTGTGCTCACGCGTGCGTGACGTTGTGTCGCGGAACAAAAAAAAAAAGCTCGAACGTGAATGACTTTTATAAAGAAGTTGCGCGTTCAATGTCACGTACACGTCAATAAACTAAGCGTAAGGACGCTTATTGTACCACAGCTGTGCCGATGTCACCAGAACACACTAGGTGTTCCCGAGAGAACAACAACAAAAAAACTGACCGAATATAATCAGTAAAGTGGTTTAAAGGGACGCAGAAGAAGAATGCAGAAAAGAGGGAAGTTTACGGCAATGAACCTGGACGGGTCCCTGACTCCATGAGAAACTCCCAGGACTCCCTCTTTCCATTATTCCAGCCGCAGTCACTCCCGCAGCTGGACCTTGAACCCCGGTGGAGAGACCATCGACTGTCGCCGCTGACGGTCACGCACTTCTCGCAGAAGCACGCCTCATACGCGTGTTACATTTGCAGCGAGCAGAAACGAACCTTCTTGAGATTTCAAGTTCAACATATGTTTGCGCGTGATAAAAACATTATTTTTAACGCATAAAAACGATGAGTTATAAGAATTGGAGGAGGGGGGAAGAAAAAGATACACGGAAAGAGTTCACAGTTTCTCTCGAGTTCCGCAGAACTCTTGTAATTTCATGTCGCGTTACAACGTTTTCGCCAATCTTTTTCACATATCGAATCTGAAATTAAAAAAAATTTTTTTCCCAGTTTCGACGTAATTTGAATTTTGAGGCTCTCACGAGTTTTAACATAATTATCTCCGATTCGTCCTGCCGAAATAAAAACTAATTCTCCACGAACGTTACGCTCAGAAGTTGGATCATCTGTTGTAAATTTTGAAAGAGTGATGCCATCAGAGATCGAGAGGATTCAGCGTGTCTAATTGAAAATTATTAGAAACTTGCTGCACGGTATAATCGTTCTCATGTGCGTACTTCCTTTCGATTTTACTGCTCACCCTAACGTTCAACGAGCTCATTTCCTCTCTCGACCTCTGATTTAGTCCCACACACGCGTACGTGGTCGGTCATAGTTTAAATAACTCAACATGTTTGCCATTGAATTTTCGAGAGACAAAATCTAATTTACATAATCAAATCAAAATTCACGAGCAACAATGTTAACACACATAGATTTCTCACGCTTGCATTTCACGTTTTTAAAAAAGTTGTCTGTTATTGTTTTTTAATATATTGTAGGAAAACAAATAATTTATCTTTTAAGAACAATAGATTTTACGATCGGAGTTGCAATCGTGAAGAGAGTATTTTAAACTCCAACGATCACGTTCTATATTTACATACACAGTCACCGGAATCACTTGTCGACGGCTCGTGAACTTTATTAACGCGTGTATGTCGCCGTCAGCGACCAGATCAATTTACATGAATCATCCTAAATTCGCTTAGTCAAACCGGTCAAAGTTTTCCGTCCGAGCTTGCTTCTCTTTTGTTACTGCCGTCGTAATAAAAACTTTACACGATTGCGAATAATCGTTGAGCGAGCTGTTTCTTTTTATATCTCCTGAACACAATACGTATATACGGATTTTTTTTTTTTTGACGATTATAAGAGCAAATCCGCGTTGTCGATGTATCGCGCACGCCACGCGCGGATTGCAAAACATTCGTCCAAGCGGGTAATATTCCTTAGAAGGCCAAGCCGACAAGCAAGAAAGATGCTAACGGATTTTATGCTCCTCTACTAGGTGTCCCAATTGCTGCTCCGGGACAGCCATATACGAGACGAGATCCGCATATTATGTCGTGGAATGTTACTGATCTGCGAGAGAGAGAAGGAGAGAGAGGGAGAAACAGAGAGAAGAGAGTTTCTCTCGCTCTTTTCTAGTTCAAACGATCTCTACCTATCGATGTCAGATTTCTCGAAACGTATTAAATACAGTTGAACGCGGTTAAAATCAATCGAAACCAATTTCTAACTACGTTTTATTCGTTTTTTTTGCTTCAGTCTCATCGAAAATTCATCAACCGCGCGTTCTAACGTTTAATTTCATTTTTCACACACAGTTCAAGCCGTTAATTACGTTTTGAATCAAAGTCGTCACATGTCGAGAATGATTGAATTGCGAAATCCCGTAATAATTACTAAATAAGAGGATGTCAAGGACATCCTCTCTCCGAGGAAGGACTCGGTATCGTAGCGCGCGGCAGAATTGTCATTGCTAAAAGTGATGTGCGCGCAAATTTGTCGTTAGAAAAACTGCATTTGTGCAATGTGCAAAATACGAAGCGCCGTATTTGTTACAACGTCTATCGGCGATGTTTCATGGCGGGTTTTTAATTTTCAATCGATAACTCATGACTCACAGACGAGGGAGAGGGAGAATGCGATCTATCACTTATCTCTGTGTGTGTGTGTGTGTGTGTGTATGTGTGTGTGTGTGCGCGCGCGCACGTGTAAGATAAAGCTTACGATAGCAAGGTACAGCAAATTGTGGCTCTTTGCGTCACTATGTAGGTGACGTTTCGCGTAACTTACGTTCTTTCTTTTCGTAAAAAAGCAAAACAATAGCACGTACCTCGAAAAATGATCGCAAGATGATCGTAGAAGCTGATTCAAGAGTTGATCGGTTTCCCGACAAAAAGCTTTCGCTCCCGATAAATACACAAAGATATCTCAAATAATTGCGAGATTAATTTTACGTGAAAAAAAACAAACAAAAAATATTTCGCTCGTGCGGTAACTTTTGATACTGTGTGTAGAAAAAAAAAAAAATTATTATACAACAAAACAGTAATTATTATTCGACAGCGTATGGTGACACTTCCACTAAAAGAAATTTCAAGAACGTAATAAAAGATGTTGAGAAGACCTGTGCGCGTTTCATTATGATCACGTTAGACAGTTTTCTTATTTCTACTCGTTGGACGCGATAGAAAAACACGCGACGATATCGCTTCCCGATTTATTTATAAAAAAAGAAAATCTTCCGATAAGAAATAACACGCGTATGTGTGTGTGTGTGTGTATGAGAAGGAAAGAAAGAGTTGACAAAAGGACGCGAACGGAATGAGGATGTGGCGTTATCACGCGGCGGTTTCGAGCGAAACAGGACGTTGCACTAACGTTCGGGCCGGATGACAGTCAGCTGACGTCCGTGTGTTCGCGCCGATCGGTGTCGTCGCTTTGTTTAAATTCCACCGAATGTCCCAGTTAATAATTTATGCATGCCATTCGGTGTGCGTGTGTATACGCGCGCATACACAAGCGGACACAACGTGTGTCTGCGCCGTGTAATGCAGCCTTGCAATGACGATTGGCTAATTAGATCTGTTCGCGCACCAAAAACTGTTCTCACTCGGTTCTATTCTATATTACGTAATCGCAAAATAGAAAAAAAAAAAACTAAAATATCAATAAATTTTTACCGCACAAAATAAAACAGGAACTTTTTATTGAAAAAAATGAAGAATCGTTGATTATCCGCCAGGTGGCGTTTTTTTTCCAAACTCGTGCTATTTCCACGTGAGAAAGACGCAGTACCATAATTTACGTGAACGTAATACTCGAGATTGCGCAATTTATATAAGGTCGCGAAGGTTAATTAGTCGCTGAGCGCCGCGACTGGATGTGATATAATCTTCTAAAGGTAAACGAGCGTAAATGATCCAGGCGTTTTTACGAAAATGATTGTTCAATCGATGCGCAGATTGACATAAACGACACCGACTTCTCCTTGTTTTGTTATAATGTTTTTTTATTTCAAACAACCCCAAGAGAGACAGTATTCGTCGAGATGTCAACGTGTTTTTTTTTCTTGTATCGCTCACTCTTTCGATGTTTTTTTTTCTTTTTTTCTACGATAAAAAAGCGCATCTCAAAATAAACCCCATCGTTTGATATACGCGATGCATATTTCTCTGTGCGCGCGCGATGCCGCGTTATCGCGCGGGTGATCTACGCGGCGCGTTCGCGCCTCCGCTTTAATCTGTATTTAATTATCGCTGAGGCTGACGTTCCGAAAGTGCAATGCTAACGTTGCACATACGCAGACAGGCGCTGTATATAGCGTGCGCGTGCATGTACACGTAATGACACGATTTGCGATATCCATGACCAGCGCGTGCATTCTCGACGACGCGTCGCGAATCGGGTTGACTCGTCGCAAAAAGATTGGATTCTACGCCGATGTATTTTCACGCGCTTTTTTGCCACCAGCTTAAGAACTCCGATTCGACTCTGTGGTTGCAATTAACGACAAAGCGCTAAAATGTCAGATTGTTGCATCGTTTCCCCCGGAATCGCTCGCGAGATAAATTTCGTGTCTCGTCTCTTAATGTTTTGTGCAAGCAAATTTGTTTAATGATAATTGAAATATTTGCACTAACTGAAACGACAGATAGAAAGTTTCATCGATGAAGATGTAAGTATTTAGTGTTCAAGAAGATTTTTTATCATTTTTATATGTTCAATTTGTATAAAATTTTGTATATTTATTTTTAAATATACAGCGAAAACATTTCCATGTGATTCTTGACGAACTTTCGCACAAGCTGATACCATTTTGCGTTCCCGTTTCTAGTTCGTTAAGCTAAGCGGCGATTCTTTTTTTCTTTCGGTCGCGTACGCATAAAATTGTTATATTCTTTTCTTTTTTTGTTCAGCATTCGTGAATGCACCGTTAGGTCGATTAGATGGAGCAGACGCAATTTTCAAGAGAAAAAAATTATGAAAATTGCGCACGCAGTTCGTAGGAAACATTCGCGCATATTAGAAGCGTCTTTCTTTCTGCGTGCGTATTCCTTTGTTCGCATACATATCGCGCTGCGCATCCACGTATTAGAATATTATTCAAGAAAAGAAGACAAATGTGATTTAATAAATAAAATACCGATTAATACGATAAAATGTTTTTACACCGTGTTTACTCAGTTTTAATTAAAAACACCGAACAAAGAGCAATCAACAAGTGTCAGACGATATCGCGAGGCTTTATCGAGAAGTTATATCGACGAAATGTTTTTATCTTTCATCTCTTCTTTCTCTACAAGAAAGTTAAAATCGTGAGAAATCGATCTCGCAACGAAAGTCTAATCTTCGATATTCGTTTCGAAATTACATATGCAACAACAACATTCTCGTTCCTCGATGCATTAGAAAAACAGCGGATTAACAATACCGTTCTGGTTCTTTAATCATCGCTCCAGAATAGTCGCCGCTTTTAACAGTCGCGTGTCGATTTCCACTTCCGGATTATCTAATACGAGAAAGTAACATCTTTCCCGAACGAATCGATCGTGTGTGCCTAATTTCTCTCGTTTTCCGCTCAAACGTTCGAAAACGCGAAACCTTCGGTTTCACTTTGCCGACGAGGACGCGATGATGCGTTTTATAAGCGCGAGAAGCTTGGAAACGAGCGATGTTGTATGTGCAGTTGTATCCGCGTTTGTGCAAGGCGGTTTTAGAAAGTGCCGCGCGCGTGGATTCGAACGCGCGCGTTTTACTTTGTTGTGCCATTCGCGTAAATAATAATAATATAACGCGTTAAACAACTTTTATATTCGAAAAAAGAAACACGCACGTAAATACAACGCCGATTGATATATATATCTGATCGGCCGATCTAATCTCTTACTCACACGCTGTTGCGCATCACAAAATATGCTCATTGTTTTCCGCGAATGGCGTTTCGCGTGCGAAATTAAAAGATTAATTTCGCAATGTAATCTGATAAAAATCTTCTGGAAATATTAACCTCGAACAATTTATCCAACACTCCGTGCGCGTTTATAAATATCTTTGTAACTTTGATCTTCGTACGAGCTTTGTTTTTTTTTTTTTTTTTTTTTTTTTAAGATTCATTGGATATTCGCCGATTGTATATCTAGCATATCTTATCTACGCGTTAAAAAAAAAAAAAAAAAAAAAAAAAACCACAACTCGACTCGCGTCTTTTATCAATTGTCGGAGGTTGTAATCAAACAGCTACCCAAGTAACCGAGTTTGTGTTAGAGAACAATGTAATTGAAACACAGGAAATTCGACGGAGGCAAATGCGCGAGACATCTGAGACATTTCTGTGTACACGAGTACCGAAACGTGTTCGGAATACGTCAATTAGACGTAATTGAAATTCTCGACGCGGTGTCACCTTTGTGATCACCTCGAACGACAACGCTTCTGTTCCGACGACACGTAGTAAAAGAGAGTGAAAACAGTTTGACTATACGCGCGAAAAGAAAGTTGCGCCGGTTCTTATTGAACTGTATCGATCGTTGCGCATCTCCTTGTTGTGGCGCAACGATCAAAATTTTTCACGTGAAATCGACTTGAAGAAAAACAACCAAACCAACAATCGCCTCAAGTAAAACCTGCAAATGAAGGGTATACTGTTACCTTTGGCTTCTCCCGCTTTCTTCTGATGATAAGACCGTCGTTTTCTATGTAATCCGGCACGTCCTTCCGATTACTGAAGTTGAACACCATCGTGTTGTTCTGCTGATTCCATGGCTTCGTGTCCCAGAGACCGCTGCCCGCGCTCGTCTTTTTCGCCGGTTGTATCTCGTCCGCACTCTTCAGACTCACCACCACCTTGGTCGGCTGCTCGATGCTCTTCACCCGATTGATCAGGTTCTTCTCGAGCTCGCGATTGCTCAGATTCTGCTGCGGATGTTGCGTCTTCGTGGACACGAGCGGGCGTATGATGCCGATCTGTTTCTGCGGCGGCGAGAACTCGTTCTTCTGCTGAGATCTTATCGTTTTCGTCTCGTTGTTGCTCTGTTGCGAATGCGTCGTTGCGGGTTTGATTAAACTCAGACTACAAATAGCGCCGATAGGTTTCGTCTCCGGTACGATCAGCTTCTGATCGGCATCCTCCTTGCCGCTCTCGAGTTTCGTCTCTTTTTCGGGTTCCAGTCTTTCCTGCAATCTGCACGTCGCCTCGGAGCTCGTCACGCGAACATCCGACGCGCCGGACTCGATCTTGTCGCCAGGATCGTCCTCCGCCGAGTTTTGTTGTCCGTTGTGCTTCGCACCCGGCAAGTAACTCTTGTCGCTCGTCGGCTGATCGCCAAAGTTGAACTGCATCGTTATGCCGGCCTTGCTGATATTATCCAGAGCGGTCTTGGATATGGTTTTCGCTTCTGCGGTTTCCTTTTCGGCGCTGTCCTCTTCGTTGGCGACCGCGACGCGGCTCGCATCCTCGTCTTTTCGCTCTTCGAATGATTCCGGAACTCGTACCGGTTGCCAGGTGTGCTCTACATTCGTTCTCGGCGAGTCCTTCTCGATCAACAAACGAACTTTGATCGACTCAAGCTCCGTCTTCGAGGAATCCTTGACCGGGGGACTCGGCAGTGGCGGTTTGTGAAGGGAATTTGGAATCTGAATCCGAATCGGGTCCTTGACGGGAGAGGAAGGACTCTGGGAGCCTTGTCTGATTGCGTCTTTCACCGGCGACGGCGGCGATTGCAATCTGGGTGACAGAATTCTCGGCGAGAGCACCGGTGTGACCGGTGGCGATTTTACGCTGATCTCCAGAGCGGCGGACTTGGACTTGCAACTCTGCGGTTCCGGACTGTTCGCCGGTGAAAATCTGAGCTTGTATACGGCGGGTTCCGGCGACGGCGAGGGCGAGTGCGACTTTTCGATTTGCTGAAACCTGCTCACCACCGAGGACACGGATTGGACGATCGGTTCTGTGATTACGCCGTCTATGTGATACTCTTCTTTGCCATCTTGCGTCTCGATCAGCTCCGCGGTCGGTTTCTGCGGCAGTACGATCTTCTTCGGGGAAGCAGCGATTCCGGCGCGAGCACCGCCATTCACGAAAGGCTTCGGCTGCACCGGCGGTTTTGGCACCAGCTTCTTCTGCGCTTTGAGCGTGTCGTTGATGGTCTTGAAAGTGGCGACCTTCGCGGCGACCTCGCCTTTCGGCTTCAGTCTCCTCGCTGAGACCTCGAAAATTCTCATCGTGGTCTTGACTAGATCCTGCGGCGGTCGTTCCGTTTCCGCCAGCACCGGTTTGATTCTCTTGGGTTTGTTTACGGGCTTCGGCCGATCGATCTCACCCAACCGACTCTCGATCTTCACGGATGTGCGGTCTACGAGGATGATGTGATCGTTAACTGGCTCTTGGCGCACACCGTTCGTCGCCGGTCGAGAGACCGGAACTTGACGCGCTGCCGCCTCGTCGGTCGTCACGCTGTTGTACCTCATCAAGGTTTCCACGCTACGCGCCCGTTTCATCGAGTCGTTGCCCCGGGAGGCGTTCCGATACCTGTCGGTCTTGGCGGCGTTCGCGACGCCGCCGCCGCTCCGTTTCGAATACTTCCTGCCGGTGACATTCTTCTCGTGACCGGGCGCTTCCTCGTCGTCGCGGTCCAGCAGATCCTCGAGACTGGCCGCACGTCGAAACCGCTGCACCGACACGCGACTCTTATTCGTCTCGCGCAGAGTGAGGTTAAGGTACTTACTCTTGAGCTTGTTTACAATCCCCGGACCGTACTGCAGCTCCTCGGAACTGTCGCTCTCCATCGCGTCTTCGTTGGACGCGCGACTCGGCAGAGCGACACGTTCCTTGGACGGATTGATCTTCTGACCGCCGAACAAATCCATTCCACGTCCGGTTACAACGGCGCGAATCTCGTTCTCGTTAGTCTCACTCATTCTCGTTCTCGACAGTTTGCCGCCGTCCGACGTTCTCGACGCTGCGTCCTCGTTCTCGTCGGTGTGATAGTCCAACGATTTTCGCTCCGTCGTGTCCGGGAACTTGGCCGGCGCGCTGTTCACAACATCCTCCGCGTCTGAGCAGAGCGACAATTCCGCCTCGAGACGCATGTTGTACGCGACTGGTGACGCGAAGTCGGCAGTCGTTGCTCCGACGGCGGCGGCGATGGTGGCGCTACTGATCGGCGGCCTTCTCGACGGTTGGGACGAGAGGGAGATCGACGCGTTGCCACCACCACTGCAGGTCGCGAGAGTGTCCTCGCTTGCGAAGCGTGCCGTGCGAAGCAACGCGCCGGCGATCGCCGGGCAATGTTCCTGAAGAACCGTTGCGCTCTGCTCGGCGACGACGCCGCCGTCGGACGTCGTCGTGCCCGCCAACGTCATCGACGACGTGCCGATCACCGCGCTGCACAGCTTAACGCTCGCGCCGTTGTTCGCGAGTACCTTGCTCTGCTGACGACGACGTTGTATTAGATCGCGTTTCCATTGCGGAACGTTGCTGCTGCTGCTGCTGCTGCTGCTGCTGCTCGTCGTTGCCTCGTTGCCGGCGTTGCTGCCGGCGGTGGACGCCATGTTGGACGCGCGTCGTCGGCGCGCTCTCTCGCTTTCTCTCTCGTTATCGCGACTTCCTTGCGGAACGATAACGACGTGCGTAAGAAGTACGTCGGCACGTACGTCGCCCTCTCACGCGCTCCTTTCCGCCGCGTTCATCTTCATGTTTACGTACGCAACGCGGATTCCCTACCGGCGACGTAGGCGACGTGCACACAACACAATCGTTGTCGTCGGAAAATCGATGACGGTTGACACGTCGAACATACGGTTCAACACACTTTCCTCGGGGAGGTAAAGAGCGACGGCAGGAAACACCGTTTCGTCTCGTTGCGCTTCTCTCCAGCTAACACATGTTCTTTTTCACACTTGCACTTCGCTGCCGTGGAAGGACTCTCGTCGCGCGAATCGATCGGTTCTCTTCCTGCGATTCGTCCTGCGGTTTTCTCTCTCTCTCTCTCTCTTTCCCTCTCGTCGTGCCGTCTCCACCTGTCGCGAAGTAAATCGAAAAGCCTCGTCGTCGTCGTCGTCGTCGCACGAACACGACTATCTCGACGCGGAACGGACGGTATGTGTACGTACGGGTGCGTTAAACTCGCATGTCCGAGCGCGATAAACACGCGCTCTATCGCGCGAAGATGACTGGCATGGTCGCCTCCTGGAGCGCGGCCACCGACGGCTCCACTGGAGAGCCGGCCCACTCGACGAAATCGAAAGTATCCGGCCTGTTTGCGCCGCGCGTTCACAAAACCCCCTCGCGAACGAAAGGCCGCCTTCGCTCCCGTCAATCCCGCCGCCGTTGTCGTCAGCGTTTGATCACCTCTCTCTCTCTCTCCGTCGCAACAACCCCTCTCACCTTCCCGCCCGAATCCTCCCGCCACACTCGCTCGCTCGTTCTTTTTCTCCGTCCTTCTCGCGTCGCGCGTTTTCACTGGCTTTTGCTACTCCTCGGTATAATGTCACTCCGACGACGTGCGGCGGGGGCGCTCGCGTCGAGGAGCGCACGGAGGAGACGCAAGAACAAAAAATCGAAACGTCGCCGCCGCGACGGACACTTCGCGATTTTAAGGGTTGCGCGTGTATACACTCGCTGTTACTTGCGTGTGCGCGCGTGTTAGACACAAGCGCAGATGAGCGCGCAGGATTCGTTTATTCAGGTATCCTTGTTTTCGCATATATGTATTTACATGAATATGATTAAATCGATCGAAAATATTTTAAGTAAACAAATAACAGTGCGCGTGTGTTACACACACAGCAGCAAATCGAGTTTCAAAATATTAAGATTCTATTAAATTTTATTTTATTTTTTACATGTATTATACACACACATATTTATTTTATAGTTTTATATTTTTTATATTTAACATATACGCATTTATATACAAGAAATATGTTAAGCGTGTACGTACACTTCTACGTTTTGCGTTGATCGCGCGTAGGTGCGTTCCGCCGTTCCCTTCCGTAATTTAGATCGCGCTCAGCCCTAGACGACTCGCAAAATGATCCGCTTCCTGCGCTCTGTTGCGGAGCGCTCGCAATCACGACGCGACGAGGAGGTTTATCTGCAATACAACACACACGCACGTGCTGAAACATACGATGCGTTACTTTCTTGCAACAAAACGGCACGGCAACCGTCTATAAATTTCACGGAGAAATGGCGTGGCTCGCACACTTGGAATGGAATTCGATATTCTCAAGGGGAAAGTAAATCAACGCGTATAGCAGTCTCTTTGTGTATCGGAGAATTGATGCCTTTCCACGATCGCGTAACAAAGCAACGTTGTGTTCGGCCACTTTTTTCACTTTTCTACTGTTGTCAAATGTACATACGCGCCGATTTGTCAACCCAATCAAAATCGCTAACTTATCATATTACATCTTATTGACCAAACCTGAGCAACGTGCATGTATTACACACACACATTGTGGAATTATAATACTATGTTATTTGCAAGAACGTGTTTGAAGTAAAACATTGTTAAATACAATTTTAATATCCAGGGACAAGGTTCTTTATATAAAACAATGGACAAATGTTATATCTGGTCATGTGTGAATGTGTACAGTCAAATGAGAGATCGTTTCAATCTCATAATTATTATAATTATTTGTAACTAATTAATGAATTTATATTCAAGACAGGATTTTTTTCCGGGTGCTTTTCCAGAGAATGAAAATAAAATACGAGTCTCTAAATTCGCAACTTGTTTCCACAAGAGTGTTGCCACTTGTCAGTTATTATGAAATAAGAGCCCTAAGCGTTTTCATTGGTTACATGACGATTTGCTTGGTATAACAGATATAAATTGCCCCGAAGTATCGACGTTAAACGTCGCCGTTGCTTCCTTCCTGAACCTCATTTCCGTGTTTCAGTTCAGTCAAATGGCCGAGGGATGTTAAAGAATAAACGCATAATTATCGGTGAAAGACCCGGTGAAAGGTTTGTTTCGATGGCAACGCGATTATCTACGGCCGGTTGTTACATTGCTACGGGGCCATCTTCCTCGCGTGATTCTCGCGATTGCTCGCGTCACGAGATATACTTTCGCGTAATCCCCGATGATTCTCTCGTTGTTATGATTACGCGCGAAAAGGAAAAGCAACCGCCGTCGATTACGCAAATAAAAAAAAAAAAAAAATATGATTACGAGGTTGTGCGGATATTAAATTACGCTGCGTCGCGAAGGCGGGACGCAGAGACAGACACGCACCAAGTTTTTCCCATCGCGTTGCGTTTCGCTCAAGAAACTACGTGTTGACAAAACACTACTTTATGTAAATCCCGGAACAACTGACTAATCAAAGTCTAAAGTACAGAAACTGTCTATAAAGAATTGAAACACTGTCGTGTCATTGTCCGACCGAAGAATCTTTTCACTTAAAAATCACGTTTTTTTGTAAAACGAAAAAAAAACGACACGATCTTTGATGGTCTAACGGCTAAATTTTTTCCAGCGCAAGAATCTCACCAGCATCCGTTTCATCTCAGACACAGATGTAAACGTTGTCATAATCGTAAACGATACGATCTTACGCGCGTCTGCACGTCTTTGCTTGCGACTGTTGTCGCAATTTCTGGATGGAGGTTTTTGAACGTCTCTCGAGGTAAGATTCTTGTACGCCTGTAAATAAGAACTCGTTAGCACGCATTCTAGGCGAGCGTTCCTGCGGAACGAAATGTATCGATTGAATTACGACTAATTTTATGCGAGAAAAAGTGTAAGATCTTCGCATTAAGTTTTGTTTTTTTTTTTTTGTTTTTTGTTTTTAGCTGTGTACTTTATCTTCAAATTTTATAAAATTATTATAAATAGTCGCAAATTCATCTTGTAGTAATTATTTATGTCTTACGTGTGTAGGTAGGCTTCTTCTTCTGAAAACAAGTTATCTGTTTGCGCTCCTTCAATATTTCGACTTGTACTACTGGAAAATGTCCTCTCGCCAAGATGCGCCTAAAATAAAACAAAAAAAACCAGTTGTCATTTTTTGCTGAACGTTACGTACTTGTTTGTTGTAGAGTTATGACAATGAGACAACTTGTTTTAAATTTAAAGATGAGAAGAGAAAGATGTTTTCGAAAAAATAATAAATTATATTCTGTACATTATAGCAAAATAAGTGCTCTGTATTGTCCTGATGTGTTTCAAAACCTGGAACGATCGATGATTTCATAAGTCCCACAGCTGTTCGACTCTACCGGTGACATGACGCGCGGTGAACATGGCCGCTGTCGGTTTGTGACAGAACCTGCTCCAGATCGAAACCGGTTTCGAACCAAGTTCTCTTTGGTTTTTCAGCTGCGCACGCGAGACCAGTACAGACTTGTGTACGCGAAAGGATTGGATTGCTCGTTGTGATCGCAACATCGTCGTTTGACGTTCGAACTTTACGTCTCTTGTCGATCATGGCCTATAAGGAACAATTAGGTAAAGAAACTGTTTTGTCTTCTAGGTTAGGTTAAGTTAGGTTAGGTTAGGAATAGGATTTACTCTAAAAATATTCGATTAAAAGGATTTTAAGCGTCAGTTTGTCCTTATCGCATTAAATGTAAAAAAAAAAAAATGCACAAAGCGAACCCGAATTCCGTTTTCAAAACTGTATTCTTCGGTCAGAGTAGCATTTAATTGACCAATCGGAAAAGAGCAGAGATTGTATCCTGATTGATCAATCAAACGCTACCTCTACCCAATGAGGGGCTTTTGGAACGTTGCAACGCCTACGCGATACAATTTGAATTAAAACTCGTACTATGAGGAAAAAAGAAAAGAAAAAAAAACTCTAACGAACGCAACAAAAATATGTTAATTAATTCACATATTGTCATAACCAATTTTGCCAGACGGTAAACTTGGCGACGATCACATGGAAGTCAAGGAGGAGCCGATTCTTCAGTGCTACGTTCAGGAGAATAGTTTACCGAGTTTCGAAAATACCAACGCAATACCGTCAAGCGACGTGGGCGGGTTGTATCTGTGGAGCAGTAAAGCCACCACCTGTCTGATCAATCAGTACAAGAAATATCGATCGCTGGTCGGAAAGTCACCGCACATCAGAAGTCTGCGAGAGATGTTCGAGATGATATCGTTGGAAATGCAGAATTACGGTTTTTGCTTCAGTCCGCAGAAATGCGAAAACAAATGGCGAGTTCTGGTGCGCAAGTACAAGACCATCGCTTATCGCGAGCGATTAAAGAAACCGGGCAGAATAAAACACTACGGTCAGTGGGAACACAAACGCGCCTTGGACGAAATTTTTAACAGCGAGAAAAAAAAACACAACATGTATTTTGAACAAACCGATTCTCAGCTATCAAACGAATCGACCAAGTGTTCGTTGATCTCGCGCGGATGCGATCAGGACAGCAATCATTCGCATCATCCGCTGAAAATTCGTCAACACGAAGATCTATTGTCGTCTTGCAGCGACGCAACGAAGGACAAAGACGCGTCAAATTGTAAACAAACCTTAACATTATTGTTTGAAAAGTTTATTGGAGAAGTGAGAGAAAGTTTTGCTCAAGCCGAGAGAAACAAAGAAAGACGACACAAAGAGAAACTGGCTATGAAACAGAAGGAATTGGAATTGAAAAGGCAGCTTCTTAAGTTGAAGGAGCAAAAGATGCAGTTGCAAAAATGTCAAATGATTGCTGCCGTGCGAAATTTGAAATAAACGTCAAGCGATGCGATATCGGTAAAATATACAGATCCATGTCTCTTTGTAATTTTTTATATGTAAGTTTTTCTAAAATTCTCAACACTTACGATATGTAAACAAATCGCGTATGGTAAATTTATATCACTTGTTCTATATGTTTCTAAATAAAAATAAATAACGTTACTCTCGATCAGATTTATATCCACGTACGGTTATACTGTGATACAGCAAACAGATGCTTCACGTTTCCTTCTTTAGATGGCGGTACACGTTGAAAGACAACATTTTGCCACATTACCGGCAAATGGTTTTCAGATAAATCAAAGTATATTTGTAATGTAATTGGTAAAAATTATACGTGTGTTAATTATATGATTCTCGCTTTATCTTTCAAACAATTAATAAAATTATTCTGTTAAAATATATTTTTCAGAAATTTCTTTATATTCAGACTGTTTATAACATGACTTCTCGCGCTTAATTTCAGTGTCTAGCAATTTAAAAATTAATGTGTTTCCACAATATCTTATGTGTGTGCATTTGTAACGACGTAATTTATGTATCATTTTGCGTGAAAAATAAGAGTGTGCATCGATTTTATGTACAAGCACGTTTTTGTAAAATATTCCCTCACTTTACTTTCCATCTCGAGTTTTCGCACGAAAGTAGCAGAGTAAACATTTTTGTGTAACTACGTTTAAAACAAAAATACTGTAATTAATCAAATCATTGAAGTTTTATTTTCATTGAAAAATGCTCTTTGTGGAACTAATGTGAACTAAAAACTTTGTAGAACTAAAATGTGATTTCGCGCGTCGTCCTCGTGAAAAAAGTACTTAGTTAAATTCGCTTCTTAGCAGAATCTCCGCAATGGTCTCAAGTTCTTTTCGCGCGTTTGCTTTTTGTCGAGCCGGAGCTGAAATTTCGAAACTCAGCGTTCAGGAAACCGAGAATATCCGACGATGCGCGCGCGATGTTGACATCCATTCTTCGAAAAATGAATCGCGTTACACTTAAAAAAAAAAAAAAAAGCAATAACAAAGGGGGATAACTAAGATCTTACGATTTTATCGCTGGACTGAAAATAACTGCGTGAATGTAAAACCCGTGACGGTTAAATCTCGGACGAAACATCGATTGTATGCTCGTTTGGGATCGAGTGTTCCGACGTAGGGTGACGAGGTGAATGAAAATGTGACGTCTAACGACGACGACAAAGAGTATGTACAATTTTATAAAAGCGTCGTGAGTGCTTTTCGTGAAAAAATCGGTGGAACCGGTTACACCCGCTCACCTCACGTTCTCGCGCGCGCACACACGCGGCAGGCGTACACAGCCTACTTTACTGTTTACGCGAGGAACACCGCGCAGGTGCGTATGTATACATTCGTGTGTGTTTCTCGAATACCGAGTACACGCTTGTTTTACAGTTAGATCGGGAGAAAACCAATCGACAGAACAATGTGTACGCGAAATGTGTTGTAAAGAACATATCTCGCGAACAGTCGCGCTGATAAAACGTTTGCACATTTTTAAACTTGTGTCGATCAACTGCTAGTCGGGACTAGCAACGCTAGTCGGGAGTGCGGTTGAGCACTAGCGTAAATATTTACTTCGTCTTTGTGTAAAATAACGTAAACACTGTTTGTTTTGCCAAACTATTTCTTTCTCACACTTGGAAAATACGTTTACATTCAATTTGCTTTCAATTGTCGGACTGTTGATCGACGAAACACGACAGAAATCGAATTACTTTTTACAGCACACGGGGGAGACAGTGTGCCGAAAAAGCTGCGACGAGAGTCACGTTAGGAGAGAAAGACACCGTGAGAAAAAAAAAAACAACAAACATCGAAACGTGTAAACGCGTCCGATTTCGAGTGCGAGGGCGCCGCGCTATCAGACTACGAGCGTGAACGCGACGAGCAACGGTGCGGAGGCGGTCGGTCGTCCAGTCAAGCCGCGACCGCTGAGCGGAGTATACGCTTCAGATTGTATCTTGCGCTCCGCGACACACATCCGGTTAGAGTTGGAGAAAGAACAAAAATAAAATTCGGACATGTGAGTGATCTCTCACGGCGCGATTTAATATACAGAGGGTGGCGATGGACGCGTCGCCGATGGAATCGCATCCACGTGTTCGCTGAGACAAACTGTCAGAGGTAAAACTGTTTTATACTCGACGAAGAAAAAAATTTAAACGACAAAAGAGCGACGAAAGACACGCACGAGAATTCCGCGCACGTGCATGTTAGGCTATCGTGCGACGACGTAAACAACGTGAAAATACCTCCGTTTGTTGTGAACACTCGAGATTCGAAGCGGGATTTGTGTGTTTACCGACCGCAGTGGCGCCGCATTATCTCCTCTCTTTTCTTCCTCCGTGGCGCTTTCTTCGGCCGATCGAGAAAAGTTGTTGACTCGGGAAGAATCGTGTGCGCATAAACACACACACACACACGCACGCGCGCGCGAAATGCATATTATACGCGTCGGCATTAATCGGGCTCCGAGTGAACCGCAATTTTTGGTCAATTGAAAGATTTTCCGCGTCGCGTTTGCGCTTTTCACCGAACCGAAACAACGAAAGGACGCAAGTTCGAAAGTCGTATCTTATTGTCACGCAAGACAAAACGATCCGCGCCACCTGTCGCAGCAGGAAAAGTCTCACGAGGGGGAGAATCCTCGGTCGATACTATTTTATTTGTTTTCGCGCTATAAACAAAGGAAAAGACTTTCGTGTAAAAAAAAAAAGCGCGCGCTCTCTCGTTCCCGCGAAATCTCCGCCCGAATCCTCCCGCGTTCGCGACGCGGTTGCGGTGGTCCCCCGTTGCCGGGCCCCGTCTAAGTAACAGTACTTCCTTGCACTCGGTGGAATAAGCCTCTTTCCGTAGAACGGGACCCGCCGCGCTCTCCTCCGCTCGCGGCGCGCCAATCTCGTCCCGTCTCGCTCGCGCTCTCCTTCGGACGCGCTCGCTGTCTCGCGTCATCGCGCCCGAAGTAGTCTGGCCGGTCCGGGAGAGGAGCCTCGTGAAAACCAGTCCGTAACGCACACACACGCCAGACTCTTTTCGGCCGGGAGTAGCGGAGGAGGCGACTGCGCGGCGCGTAAAACCAACCTTTTGCACCTGTTCTGCGACGATTTTTCGGTTGCTCGAGTCTCCGAGAACAGGCGAGAGAAACGACCACTCGACGATTTAACATCGACCGCTTCGGGAGAAATTCAACCAAGTCAGGTGCGCGATTATGGTAAATCGATTTTAGGTGCGCGAAAACTGAAGATAATCGCGTTGTTCGAACGTTTTTTTTCCGTTTCACAAAGCGAGCTCGCGATCGATCGCGTGAGACTGACGTGAGAGAAAACAATGGCGAGCGTATCGATTGTCAATTGACGGAAAATCGAAATCCAATCGATATCGATCGCGATCGATAATAAGTCGCTGTCGCGTATGCGACAGTTGACGGGCGACGTTGTTCCGGGTGCGAGTCGAAGACGTGTGAGAAGTGGAGACGACGACGTGTTATCGGTGAAACGTGTCACAACGCGCGACAGGTAGCGGTTTTCCGCCTTGTGTATCGTGCGCGCGCGCGCGCGCGCGATATGTTGGCGCGCGACGTTCGCGTCTCGCTAACCGCCTCCGCAGAGCGTCCAAACCGAACGAATGTAGTCGCGAGTGATGTGCGAGGGCGCGTCTGCGCCATGTCAATTCGTGGCCGAATAGAGCGAGTGTGAAAAGGTGCGTTGCGCGCTTCCCGAGAGAGTAGAAACTCTGAAACAAGTGCGAGAAAAAGAGCAGCGGAAGCGACACTCGTCTGTCGTACGAATATGTAAGAATTCACGAAAATTAATTGAAAAGAAGAAGGTTAGAGAGAGAGACACAGCACTGCGTAAAAGCCTTTCGCCGCTCGCGCGACCCAAGTTTCTCACTCGGCCGCGAGTCCCACTGATCTAATTCTTTTGCGTTTCGCGATATATCTTCGAAGAAGGCGTCGATCGATTCATTCCCGCGAGTAACTCTGTCGGAACATCGGGACCCACGCGCGATTTACAAATCTCCGTGTTTGTGACAGTTTCAGATTTTTAAGCTGAGAAAAGGAGCGAGGGCGCAGTTTGCACACACACGTGTTGACATTTAGCGGTGATCTCGCGCTGGAAGAAGTCGCTGGCGTCGAGTGTGTGTGAAAAAACAAATCTCCGATCTTGTTTTCCATTTCAATCGAATACTCGATACCGCGCGCGCCATTTTTTTCACCTACAAGTGCGCGTGAACTCTCGTTCGAAATGCGTGATGTCGCGTACTGTTGATCCGGACACAGAAGTAACGCGCGCACTTCTCGCCTAAGTTGTTTTGATTACGCGGCCGAGAGCGGGACCCGTTGGCGTTGCCGTGACGAATCCTCGCTGCAGCTGGAGGAGAGCAAGGAAGCGAGGAGGAGAAGACAAACGCGGACGGAGAGAAGAAAGGAGAAAGAAGATATAGTATACGGAGAGCAGGAGACACTTGGCACATCGAGAAAATGAAGACCACACAACGAGCGTTGAGGTAAGTGAGTCCGATGCGCAAGCACTGTTGCATGGGGGAATATATTCCGCGTCTGTTGCGGCCGTATTCACGTTGCATGCTTAACGCGGTAACAGTACGCGGGCTATTCGTAACACGAAGGTAGTTCCGCCGTTGATAATCGCCGTTAAGTTTCGCTCTCGCGAGTCAACACTTTAACGCAAGCCGTGCTCTCTCACGCAATGTATTATTCTTTTACGTTATTGTTCGAAATCACTCGGACTTCAAATCGCAATTATATGATCACTCGGATTTTCAAATGTCGTAGAGGAGAGAAAACTTAACAGACTCGATTTTCGAGCAAAGGTTTTTTTTTATATCTTAAAGCATGCAACAACAAATGTGTACGTGCGTATTTTGACGTGCGACAAGTGTCCTTGCAAAATCAGCAAATTCCGCTCGCGTGTAGCTTTGGAAAATGACGGAAAACAATTTTTTCCGACTACTCATTAAACGTTGATTTCAACAAAATTACATGATTAACGTCGCTTATCGCCAATGTAGATTAGATAGTAAATTATACGTCGAATATAACTCGAAAAAAATTTTGAAAAGTGAGGAAATTGCTGATTTTGACGACGACGACATCTCTCGCATATGTGAGCGCATAGAAACTAAAATTATCATTTGGTTCGAGTTGCGAAGAATATTATTGAAATTTTATAGTTGATTCTTATATCACGTTATGAACAAACTAGTTTTTCAACACACATAGTTGGGATTAGAAACTAAAATTATCATTTGGCTCAAGTTGAAAAGAATACTGAAATCTTTATAATTGCATTTCTATACAATGTTACGAACGAAATAGCATTTAGTTAGAGACTCTCACAGAGAGGAATGTACACATTTTCTCGCCAATTACAACAATCACGAATATTGTGCACACACGACTCTCTCGTGTTGTTGCTCCGCTTCGAAATCTGCTTTCAATGTTTATCATGTGACTCGAAAGCTAAGCAGAAAAGACAGCGCTGCTAATTAACAAATCCGAGATGATTTAGCGATATGTGTGTGTGAGTATGCGCGTTGCGTCTTATCGCGCGCGTTAAACGGGATAATAACGATCGGCAGCGTGTGTCAAGAGCTTCGTTTCGATAATTATTTATTTTCGTTACGACAAAACTAGCCACGTCGTGGTAATTGGACGCCAATCAAAGTAATTGCGCGCTGCTCTTATGCAGCCAAACGGTTTAATACCTACTTGCAAGAGCGGTCTCTTCGCGACGCCTACTTTGCGCATTGCTTTTTGTTGTTACACCTCGCATATGTAGAGGACTCGAACGACGTGCTTCTCTCACGTGTTGCGCAAGTTAATTTGAAACACATTTTAAGACTTGCTTTTTCACATCAATTGTGTTTTTTCATCCGTCTGTTTGTTTCGCGCTTATTTCTTTCTTGCACGGCGCGACGATCTAATCCCCGGTAATATTATTGTACAAACGAGCTGTTCGATTGCTCATAAAAATAAAATATAATTAATAAATAATAATATTCAGCAACAACGTCGAAATCAAGATAACATTTTGGGATTCTAACAACAATAGCAATCGCGTTTTCTATCTTCGCATGATGTGATTTTTTTGTGTACTTTTTATTTTTTAATTTTTTAGCTTTTTTGCTTCATTAGTTTTCCTCTAAGTCTAATGACGAAACGTCAGACAGAATCATTAATTATGTTGAAATTTCATAAACGCTCTCCCTTTACAAAGACAAATGTCTCGCTGGCAGAGACGGAGCGATTACACAAAAAAACATGTGTTGGTTTTTTTTTTTTTGTTTCAAATAAAAGCGTGCCCTAATTACGTGTACAAATCGTCGTTTGTTTTGCGACTTGCAACGATGTGTTATTGCAACTAAACGAATCGCGTCACGCGCAATTCAAGGTTACCGATGAACGTCAGCGAAATTTGGCGTGAATCAAAATAATTTCAATTGCATTCACGTTTCGGATTTCAATGCGACAAAAAAGCATTGCGAATTAATATTCTACAAAATGCAATTTATATATTATACATTTTTGTTTACAAGCGTCGAAAATAAAATTGAACGAATTTTAACAAGAAGATATTAGCGGAAATGAGAAAATGAACGAAACGGAGTAATTAATTGTAAAAAAGAGTTACACGCGGTTAAAAGCGGAGTTTAAAGCGTAAAAAAGTTACACGTGTGTTATTTTATTAGATTAGTTCTCTGAATTCGCGAATTCTCTGATCGATGATTTTTTTTTTTTATCTGTCGATTTTTATCTGAAAATTCCGCGGCATCTATCCATCGGCATTGAACTCGCGTGCTGTGAAATACAATTCGACCAAAAAGTAGCGATCGATCATTATCGGACCGTGAACTCGGATACGGCGGCGTAGCTGTGAACGAGTGTGTGTTTACATACATACATACATGTATGTATGTAAATGTCACGTTTAAATGTTTACCTCTTCGTGTCAGTGGCTTTGCGTCGAAAATGTCAGATGACGACTTCGATTCGATTTGACTCGCGGCTGTAACGCACACAACACACACGAAAAATTGAAATGCTAATTTGAAAGATATAGTTTGTAGCGCATCAAACAACAACTCGAAACACACACACACACACACATCTGTGTAGTTTGATTCGTGTGCTTTCGAGCGCGCACATATATCCTTCTATTGGCGGAGGAGGAAACGAGAGAACGCGCTTCGATTTATTGCTAATTCCGAAAAAGCCGCGTATTGATTACGATTAGCGGAAAATCAATACACATTCGTCCGGTTATTATATGTATTTGTTTTTTTTTCGCAACGTTGGGTAAAGCTTTGTTCGCTCGCTGCGGATATTCCGCTCGCGACGGAATAATTGTTTTTTACTTAAATAAATAGAAAAAAAATTAAATAATCAGATCACAGATTTTTCACTTCGAATTGGAAAGCGATATATATACTATATATATATATATTTAATCGCGTTCGAAGAGCACGAGTGCGAAATCGATTTGTCAGCGACAAGTAGAAAGTTGGTCGAAAAATGTCGAGTAAGAATGACAAGCGCGTTGCAACGATTAATCAGCGGCGGGCTGAAAAAGAGCGGCGTCAAAAAAGCGACGAATCTTCTTTTTAATCGCGGCGCGCGCGATAAAGCCCTCTCGGTTTAGAGATTTCTATTTTCACTCGTGCGCGGCAAAGTCCGTGTTTCCACGGAACTTTCCACCGTAGGTATACATCAGGTAGTTTTTTTTTTTTATCTCAGCAATAAACTCGACTTCGAAGAACCCGACTTTACTT